AACCTCACTTCTCATACGCATAGTTAGTTTTTGACTTCACGTGCCTTCATCTTGAGTGGTTTTCTCGAAATACGTATCTTTACTTTTACAAGAAAGTACTCTGGTTGCTCCCGGTGTTCATAGGGGCATGGATGCACAATTCTTCAGAATTTTTTTCATTTCTTGGGGTGTTTTTCGTAAATACCTTTTGAAGATATTTTATTTCAGGGGCATCTAAGAAAATAACTTTTGGAAGATATTTTCATTCTGGGGCAGTTTCGCAGTTAACCCTTTTTGTAAGGGCCATTGTACAATTAACAAAAGTTATTGCAAAATGTCTCGTTTGGAGCCTGGATCCTTGTATGGGATACATTTTCACATTTCATCGAGTCGTGGACTCTTAGAATTCCGTTCTGGTCGTTTTTCTCCAGTTTCAGAATTTTTGGACCCGATTGCCGCCAAAATTGATAGGGGCATAACTTTTTGCTCAGGACTCAGTTTTTGACGTCGTTTCTTCCATGATTCATATTTTATCATTTTGAATCTTTTTTGTTCATGGAGTTTTTCCGTTTGACCGCGTTTGCTCAAAATTCACTTTTTCGGACCCAGCAGGGCCCTTTCGGGGCAGTTTTTGAGACTTAATACAAATAGGATGCCCTAAAGTGAAAAATCAGATTTTCACTTTTCTTATCCACCTCTTGGCCGATAGCCATGGAAGCTCCTTGGCTTCCACCCTTCACTCACTTTCCTTAAGGTGGACCATTCTCCCCTCCTTTCCTCAAGGTGGACCATTCTCCCCTCCTTTCCTTTGTTTAGTGTCGTACCTCATATTTAATCTAACGTTGACCTGACCGACTTCCTTGGACTTCAAATTCCTAAAATAATAAGGATCTGGCCTATAGTTTAAAAAATAATATATTTCTTATAAATCTTTGATGTCATGCCTGGACAAATTTGAAAAATAATTATTCTTTGAAAAACTAAAAAAGATATGAATGTACAAATATTATGGAATATAATTGACATTTCACATCGTCAGTAAACCTACCGACAACACAATTTTGGACCTACCGAAAGCGTTCATGTTATTTAGGGTCAGGTGTTTTTATCCAAAATATTGCATCAAAGGTCATGCAAACCAACCATCCGAATTTAATTTGGGTAAATAATGCCCAAGTGAGGAGGTAAGGATATCCTCCCACTAGGACTAGATAAAATATTGTAGAGTTGTAATGATAAGTGCAATGACATTTTAATATATATTCCAATTGTCCAAATGACCTACCAAGGCAACCATAAATTTGTTCTTGTAAGAGGGTGTATATATATATATGCATGTTGATAATAAGACCATGCAATAATTTCTCTTAGTATATACATATATATATTTATTTTTTAACTCACTTGACAATACTAACCATTGTCGGGATATAAAAAAAAAAAAACCATATAATATCCAGTGATATCTACTAAAAACATTTTAAAATGGAATCTGAGAGTTTGAATTTTATTAAAAATAAGAATCCGAATTCCTCCTTTATGTGTTGCAGAGTGAATCCAGCTTGTGCCATTTTGATGCATTGTATAGAGTCCAATGCAAAGTTACATGGAGTCTAAATACATTTGTGTTGCACCTCCTCCTCTCTCCTCTTATCATAAACCCTGACATTTTTTCTATGAAAAAAATAAAAAATAAACCATAATCCACTGACCTATTTTCCAATCCTTGTGTTGCAGATCACCATTAAAATAATGGTGTATATAATTTATTAAAATTGCCATTAAAAAATTTATTATTATTAAAGCATAAGTCGGTGCCATTAAATAGTAACGGGATAACAACGGTGGGCACCCCACCGGGTCCTTCCAACGATAAGTCAATGCTTGAATATTTATATATCAAATACATAAAATTTTTGTAAGTATTTTTTTAAATCTTTTTATGTTGACTGGTTTAATTTTTGTAGAAGAGTTAAAGTTATCGTTTCCGTCCGCATCTTCGGTTCAACCTTTGAACTAATCAAATATTTTTCCTTAAGTACCTTATGAGATTGTATACATGAAATTTTTGTAAGTATTTTTTAAAACCTTTTTATGTTGACTAGCAAAAGAGTTAAAGTTATTGTTTCCGCATCTTCAGTTTAACCTTTGAACTAATCAAATATTTTTCCTTAATTACCTCACGAGATTGTCACATTATCTTAATTACCTTATAAATACCATTTGGCTTACTCTATCACCTTATTTTCCTCATCAATTATTATTATTATTATTATTAATTTTCCTTAATTAGTACTCTCACACACACACATTGCTTGAATCATTGACCTTCCTTTAAGAACTTATTTTAATGGTATAAAAAAATTATTAAAATCACCATTAATAACTGAGCTTTTTAATAAAATCACCATTAATAAATGATGGTTAATAATTATTAAAAGCCCCATTAATTCAGTTACAAATTTGAAACTGAGCTTTTTTTATATTATTATTTGTTTTTATTTGAGGTTGTTTGCAGAGGAATGATTTTAATAATTTGAAACATGATTCATGATGTATGTTTGCTTCAGATTATATTTCAAGTAATTCCTAAAAGTTTATATTTTTTGAATTATTGTTTAGAGCAATACTCGGGTCCTGCCCTGTTAGGACAAAATTTGTCCTGCAATTGACGCGGACCACTAAAACACCAACTTCTGTTCCAAATTAAAAATATTATTAAAAAAGTCTAGGGGTGGATCCAACCTGTTTTAATCCGGGTGAATTCTGGAAAAATCCAGTCTGTCGACATAAATATAGGTCATTGAGCATCTCCGGTCTGAATAGCCGCTTCCGCCGCCACTACCCACCTTCTCTCCACTCATTTGTTGCTCTTTCTCTTTCAAGGTTTATACAACTTAAAACTCAAATACAGTAGAAAAGCTCATAAAGTTGGATTTTAGATTCATGATTTATTCTGCTGGCTCTAAATGATCTATATTTATATAATGTACATTACATTCGTTTCCTTGTATCAATGTCCAGTTAAAAATCTCATTGCGTTACTATAATGCTCACATCTTGCATCTCCTTTTCTAATGTGAATACCTTCAAAATTAACAAATAGAGAATAAAAATTGCCAATTTGGAGAAAAATACCCTAAATTCAGAGATTTTATGTCCATGAGAAATTATTCTTTAAACTATTAGTGGTTATTTTGGGAGTCAATATTTGACTTTTTTTTTTTTTTTTTTTTTTTCATTATACCATTAATGTGCTATTAAACTCAAGCAGGGTTAATGTATTTGTGTGGGGGGCAATTGTTCCCTCTGATTTTTTTTATTTGAGTTGCATTCCTTATGATTTGTCTAGTAGGATGAAACTTAATTCGTTCTTTAACATTAACATTCTCATATTACTAAAGTTAACAATAACATTCTTTAATGTTCTCACATGATGTAAATTAATTATAATACCCTCTAACTTTTGAATTGATTTAATATTTAAATTATAAAATTATCATTTTAACATTCACTTATTTTAATCAACCAAAATATCATTTATACATACATATATATACACACACACATGTATAAATCTGAAAAAAAAAAACCAAATTATTCCATGCTCTCTCTCCCCGCCGATCATGGAGACCCACAAGACCCATATTGTCTCAGTTTAATAAAAACCTAAATCACAGACAACTATGGCCGCCCCTCTCTCTGCACCGACCATCGCAGCCGCAACCACCATCCCTCTCATCTCCCTTCTTCCTCTCTCCGTTCTCTCTCCTCTCCACCCAACGTCGCTGCCACCCCACTGTCGCAGTCACATCCACCATCTATCTCCTCTCTCTTCTTCCTCTCTCTCTCTCTCCTCTCCACCTCATCTTCTCCACCCACTGCTGCCATCGCCATCTAGCTCTTGTGCGGAGGAAGTGGTCATCGCTGCTGCGGATGACGGAGGAGGCGGTGAGTTTCTGGTGGCATTCACGGTTGTTCTCGGGGTTTAAGATTGGGAAAGTGATTCAGAGTCAGGTGGGTTTGGGTCGGTTGGCCCGTTTTGCTTAGCACCCGGTGAAGCCATTCACGGCAGGGTGCCACTTTCAGTCAACAATTTTGAAAAGTTGGAGAAGGTATATACATAAAATATATATATGCGCTCGTCAACCTACCAGCCACCTCGATCTAGAGGAGGCCGCAGGAGTCGACATTCTCACTCTCCACCACCGATCGCCTCCTCGTACTACCCTTCTGCACCCCCACATGCTCCTCGCCCTCAGCCGCTTATTAGGCCTCCCACCTGAAAAAATAATTTTATCACAGGCCATGAAAGATCAGAAAGGGGAATTTGCAGGGAGAATGGGTTGGAAGATGCAAGAGGAGGGTGTTTGTTATGCAAGAGGAGGGTATTTTCCGGGAAAAAAAGAGGAGGGTGTTTGTTATGGGCATTTAAGTAATTTAGTAAATATGATATTTTATATTAAAAATTAATTAAATAATAAGGGATAATTTAAACATTTCAGGACGTTTTAGAGTGACAGTATGTGTCATTATTAAAAAATGGGTAAAGTTTCTTCTACCTATCAATAAGGCAAACCTCTTACTGTAATTAATCTTTTTTATTTTTTAGCTTATAATATTTTATTTAGTGATTTTTTCGTATTTGAGATGTATACCTATAAAGTTTTTATATTGTCTCCTGTTGCCCACTCTTTCTCAATTTCTTGGATCCATACCTTATTAAACTGGTTAAAAAACATAAAGAAAAAAAAAAAAAAAACCGTTTGAAGAAATGAATATATAAAACTTGTTTATTTTTATTTGAAAAATATAAATTTGTTGGGAAATAACAAAAACCTATTGGCACTATTTTATAATAATTTATGTAAAAAATATAGCCTGTTCAAATCTTGTAGGCCGAAAGCCGGGCTTAGAATTCTCAAAATACGTTTGGTCCGGACCGGCCGGCCCGTTATGCACCCTTACCCAGACGCATCTGACAATACACTTTTTTTATGTTGACGTACTTTCTTACATTTGTCTATCTCTCTCGCCCGATCTACTCTCTTTCTCTCTCTCCCCCCAACCAGTTTGAACGTGCAGATCGGCGATCTACGCTCTTTCACTCTCTTGTTTCTTTCTTTTCATGTCTCTCCCCCCGAACGAAGGTATTATTCTCAATTTTATGCATGCTTTTGAAAATCCAATTTCTTATTATTTCTCTAATTCTCTTTCTTGTCCTAAAATTGATCTTTTTCAAGATCTGATTTCTGATATTTGATTTGTATGATATTGGTCTTATAGTTTCATGTGTATGGATTTGACGGCTTTCACCTTAGATCCTTACTAGCAATTGAAAAACCCTTTATTTTTCTTATTAGAAGGAAAATTAGGTTTTTTTTTTCCAAAATTGAAGAGCCCATTATTTTTAGGGTTTTTTTTTTTTTTTTTTACCTATTGCTTAGAAGAAAAATTCCTTTGATTTATTTTTTGGTAAGGTAAATTAAAATAATTTTTTAAACAAAAAAATTTCGATTGGTAGCGATTAATTGATAATGTAATAGGGTCACATTATTGATGTGAAAAGACGGAAACTTTTTGGGTGGGTTACAGCTGTATGTTGTTGTAATTATTCGATAGATAGACGGATACTTTTTATGTAGAGAGATGGATACTTTTTGGGCGGTGAAACATACCTCTAATTGTCCCTAATTAATGTGGGACGGAAGTAGTAACTATTTTTTGTCTACAGTATTATTTATGAAACTGTGTACCTGACTCACGAGGTAAATTTACCCTTTTCATATTATCATTTAGTTGAATTTAATGATCCATCTCCTCTCTTACTCTCTCTTCCAGATCAGCTGAAGCTTTTGAGAAAACAGGACCCAACTGAGGGTAGCAGAACCGGAGCGAAGCTCTGTGAACAAACAACAACCAAACTGGTGAATAACTCCATCAACGTGCAGATCGGCAAGACCCGGAAGTTTAAACACCGTGAACTCCGGCGAGCTTCAGTTCAGTACAGAGATCTCCGGCGAGCTCTCTTACTCCCTCTACCAGACCAGGAAGCAAATCGAACACTACCGACGCGCCGAACCAACTGAAGCTAGCAGAACCGGCGTGAAGCTCTGTGAGCAAACAACAACCAAACTGGTGAATAACTCCATCAACGTGCAGATCGGCGAGACCCAGAAGTTTAAACACCATGAACTCCGGCGAGCTTCAGTTCAGTACAGAGATCTCCGGCGAGCTCTCTTACTCTCTCTACCAGACCAGGAAGCAAATCGAACACTACCACCGCGCCGAACCAACTGAAGCTAGCAGAACCAGCGTTACCAAACTGAACGGTGAAGAAGTGAAGACCGGCGAGACCCAGAAGTTTAAACACCATGAACTCCGGCGATTCAGTTCAGTACAGAGATAAACCAATCGCCGTGAACAGTTCCGGCGAGCCCATTAACAAATCCAGAAGTGCGCGCGCTCCTGTTTAGGCAAACTTCAGTTTCGGTGAGTCAATCCGGCGAGACGAGAAGTTCCGGTGAGCTCCAGCGAAGCCTCAACCTTCTCGACCCAACTGCAGCAATGTTTTCCGGCGTGTTTCAGCGATGACCGACGCGAGCTACAACAAACAACGTCGACCAAACTTCAGAGACAAGTTTAAGTCCGGCACCTAGAGTTCTCTAACTCCGGCGAGGCTCAATCCACTCCGGCGAGTTTCAGTGAGTTGCCGGTGCGAACTTCAGGCGTAGCTTCAGTTCGTAGCACCTCTGTTACGGTGACCAGGCTGTTTCGGCGAGCTTCAATCACTCCCAACTGCTCAGGCGAGTTTCAGTGTGTTACCGGTCCAAACTTACAGATCCAAAGTGAAAACCCATATCAGGTCAGGTCCGGGTGAGCTTTTTCCATACAGATTTTTTATAAATAATGGGTAATATTGGAAAAAATCATTATTTATAAAGTATAGACTTATTTGTAAATATTTTTGAAACATACAACTTCTTGATCTCCCTTAAAAAAAATTTAGGACTAATTTGTCTTTAAAATTTAAAAGTATAAACTTAATATGGTAAAAACTACTGTATTCAGGGGCGGAGCCAGTGTGTGCCCTTGGCCTGGTTCGCCTAAAATTCCTATTTAATGCCCCCTAAAATTTTTAATTTTTAATTTTTAAAATTATATCCTAAATTTTTCTTTCTTTTCACTTATGCTCTTAAAATTCCTTTGATTTCCTAAAAAAAAAAAAAAATGTTAAATTTTCCTTCCTTTTTGGGATGGGATGATTACGTTCTGTATGCTTCATTATCATGGTGGGTTGAGTTATGGAAGGCAGACCCGAAATCTTGATCTTGTGTTCGAAAGAAATGAAAAGATTAATACAATATCTTCTAGGTTGAAACCAGAAAAGGTTTATCTTAAACACTTAAATCTTGTTTTTCAGCTTTCTATTTCCAGTGGTATTCAACACCTTCTTTTCCTTCCTCTCAGATTCCGCATAGAACCGGGTTTGGTATTGGAGAGGAAATTGCCGGTGCTTGTACCTTTGTTTTTGTGGACTGATCACCTATTCAGTGACGGTTGTAATGCACACACCAAATATTATATCGAACAGGTAAACATTAAAGACTGCTCTGTCATTATGATTTATTAATATTTTTTACACCAACATATAATTGGCCTCGGATGATTTACTCTATACTTTATAATCATAGAGAATTTGAATTTTTATATCTGCAGTCCAATTGGGGTTAAAATTTTTGGGAAGGCCCAATAAAATTTTTGGGCAGGCCCAGTAACACTTAGTACATTTTTTTATAGTCCAGTTGTTTAAATAACCCAGTTTCAATTCCCAATTTTAGAAACCCTGTAATTATATATGCATAATTATAATTACATGATGTAATCATGATGTAATCAGATATTTTCCCTGGGGAAACACTGGTAAATTCTTCCGCTTCTTTGTATCTTCTATGAATTCTATATTTTAATCCATTATGTTGTGTACTTTACTGTTTGATCTTCTGCTAAAGGAAGATCACCTGTGACTCTGGTTCTTGTAACTATCCAGTTAACTTAATTTATTGATCTTTAAGTGAAATTGGTTTTTTAGGCCTCTGCTGCTTTTGTATATTCTATGAATTGTTTTTTTGAATCAATTATTGTGTGTACTTTACTGTTTGATCTTCTGCTAAAGGAAGATCACTTGTGACTCTGGTTCTTTTAACGATTCAGTATTTTTAACTTAATTTGACCTGCAACCCTGGGTTTTAAGTAAAATTGGTTTTTTAGGCCCCAGTGAATTTATATATATGGGTTTGCCACAACCACAGTTTCAGTACAGAGGGAGGGAGAGAGTTGAAATGTTCAGAGTTTTTAGCAAAAAAGATTCTGGAGGGCTTCGAACCAGCCAAAGATCTCCTGCAAAAAAAGAGTGTTCTATACAGTCGCATAATTTTATGAATTTCATTAACATCAACGCGAACTGAAAAAATTGAAGGCCTCTAAGCCCCATCTTAACTAAAAAAAATTAAAAGCTGAATCATAAGCCACTAAAACACCCAAAGAAGAGTCGAACAATATTGAATTCTACCAGTTAGATTCATTTGGCAAAGAACCCTACCAGACCTGTGTTTTGTTAGTTCATCATTGTATTCTTTTCCCCTTCGGAGTGTGGCAGTACAAAATTTCTGATAGAAAAACTAAAATATCAAATATGACTCTCTCTCTCTCTCACATCACAACAGAAGTATAGTTTGCCACAACTCAACACTCAGATACTAAAGACGTACAGGACCCAAGGATATAAAAATGTCATTGAGAATAATCTAACTATTAGTCAAGAGATTATGTATTCATGGAAATTATGTAACCATGGATAGCAACGTAGGCCCCTCAATGAAAGATCATGTTAGTGTATCCTGTACTATCTTAACCACTATGTACATTTACAGAAGCATCACAACAGTACCACTTACCCTTTTTATCTCTTCTGCTGAAATACATGTCATATGCGAGGGAAGTTCCTCCTTCTCCAAGTCCTAAACAATCAGATGCAAATTTTAACAAGGAAGCAGGTATTATAGCAAATCTTAGCTGAAATAGAAGATAAGAAGTAAGACTGCATACCAATTCACCAATTAAAATGGCACCTTCAAGAGCAGCATTGGCTGCATATGAGAATTAGAATTTCAGTGAGCTGACAGAGTATTGAAAATTAGCAGATCAAACTTAAGTAAACAACGAAAGAGAAAAAGGGTACCAAATTGATCAAAAGAACGATGTATCTCCAACAGTCTTTGACCATCTCGAAGCAATACAAGAAGCTTCTCTGTGGAAAAAGGGTTTGAAATATATAAATAAGCATGAGCCCAAAATAGAGACCGGAGATAAAATTGTAGCACCACTAAAATACATTCCACCTGAACTATCTGAAACTTAAAAGTGCATTTGACAGTAAATCTCTTCAGATGGCATGTATGATTTGCAGCATGCATGAAATAATCACATAAGCACCAACATGCTTTAAGGCATGCAGAATTTTGATTAAAAATCCATATGGCAGTGGAATGTTCAGAGTTTAAAGTCCTTAAAAAGCTAGACATGGACATAACGAAGACATGTGAATGCATAAAATATAGTCTAGGCTTCTGCTTTATAATTTCATTTTTATAGAAAAAAAACCTTTGTTATTCATTTTTCTTACAATCACATTTTATCTTTTACACATTATTATTATTATTTGCTGAAACCTTGAATTTCTAGAAAAATTAATTTTAACCATTACCAGTTACTTTAAATTTTAAATCTAAAACAATATAAATCAGTGTTAAGAATATCTTTTGCATAAAATATGCTTTGAATAATATAAATGATAGTTTTTGTGAATAAAATTGGAGAAAGGCAAGAAAGGAACACAATTAAGTATAGAACTTCTTTGGAAATAGCTTCTAAAAGCAAGACACTAAGGCTTTATTGTCTTAACGGAAATTCATTCGACTCCGTTGTCTTTGATGTAGAAAAGTAGGACTTTTTCCGTACTTTTCCCAATTAGAATTTACGGAATAAGCAAAATTTCAATGCTGCGATCCAATTCCAGTATCCAGAAAGATTTTTTTTTTTCTTCTTCTTGAAGTTATTTGGTATACCTAGGAATTGTTGACTTCCAACATATTAACCATGCTAATGATCTCCAAATTGTCAATCTATATAAAGGTAACAGAAAAATGCCCTGATTCACTTCATATACAGAAACAAAAATGATTAAACTATATTTTAGTCCCTTAGAAAATGTAACCTCATACTCTAATTCACTACAAAATCTAATATGTAGTCTACCCATTTAGGTAAACAGCTCTGAGAAATTTCCAAAAGCAACCTGAACAAAAGTTTAACTAGAAAGGAAATTAGGGTATATCAGTAGTAGACAAAAACTATCATACAATTGCACCCATAACACAAATATGAGCCTAATTATAGCCTTTAGAAGCAATCAAGGATTGTAGCCTTGCTGTATCTCTTCTCCATACAAAAGTGAAAGGTTCTACCCCCTCCTCTTCTCTAAAAAAGAGAGAAAAAAAAAAAATTGCCTTTCGAAGCAGATTGGGTAATAATGGCTAAATTGAAGAATCTGATGTGTTTCAGATTGTATAACAAACAATAACTTTTGACATACTAACAAAGGAAAACCAGAACTTCATATTTAACTTTTAAACCAGAACAGGATTGAAACTGTATATTTAAAACAAAAGAAAACCATAACTTCTTATAGTAACTTTCAGAAAGAGCTCACTTAATATCAGAAATATAATCGTTAGACGAAGAAGATAAGCTAATTAGAGAGAGCTTACTGTCAAGATAACTTGCAAGAGAAGTAGACAGATATCTTCTGGTCCTGCCCAAGACATTGAACTCAAACTCTTTTGGTATCTGATAAATCACTGAAAAATCCTCCGAAAACCGAACAAATTGCTTTGGCAGCTCCGATTCCCCCTCCGCTGCCTCACCAACACTTCCCTATATAATCCAAATATCTCCCAAAAATATAAAAAACCTAAATTCACAATCACAGAAAACCTCAAATCAATCCAAACACTACACTAGCAAAAACCTCCCTGAAAAAATAAACCCCTGATTGAACACCACTCTTCCAAACCTGTTATCTAAAAAACCCTAACTTGACTAATCCCAAAACCCTCTAAATTAAGACTAAAGAATTTTGAGTTTGGTAGCTCCTCCAGATTGATGGGACTGAATGGTTTACGATAAACGGTCAGATTCAGTCACACAGGAATGATTCAAGAGAAAATTGGAAAGAAAAATGAGGGAAAGCGCGAGAAAGTGAGATAAACTGCAGGAACTATTTGCGAGAGAATTTTGCACTTACAGATTTCTTGGGTTTGGACCTTCCCATGATGGCTAAATTGAAGAATCTGTTTCAGTTAATAAGATTGTATAACAAACAATAACTTTTACTTGTATTTTTACTTATCAAAAAAAAAAAAAAAAAAGGTTGTCTAAGAAATAATAACTTTTGACATACTAACAAAGGAAAACCCGAACTTCATATTTAACTTTTAAACCAGAACAGGATTGAAACTGTATATTTAAAGCAAAGGAAAACCAGAACTTCTTATAGTAACTTTCAGATAGAGCTCACTGAATGTCAGAAATATAAATGTAAGACGAAGAAGATAAGCTAATTAGAGAGAGCTTACTGTCAAGATAACTTGCAAGAGAAGTAGCTAGATAGATCTCTTCTGGTCCTGCCCAGGACATTGAACTCAAAACTCTTTCGGTATCTGAAAAATGACCGAAAAGTCCTCTGAAAACCAAACAAATTGCATTGGGCAGCTCCGATTCCCCCTCCGCTGCCTCACCAACACTTCCCTATATAATCCAAATATCTCCCAAAAATATAAAAAACCAAAATTCACAATCACAGAAAACCTTAAATCAATCCAAACACTACCCTAGCAAAAATCTCCCTGAAAAAATAAACCCCTGATTGAACACCAATCTTCCTAACCTGTTATCTAAAAGACCCTAACTTGACTAATCCCAAAACGCTATAAATTAAGACTAAAGAATTTGAGTTTGGTATCTCCTCCAGATTGATGGGACTGAATGGTTAACAATAAACGGTCAGATTCAGCTACACGGGAAGGATTCAAGAGAAAACTGGAAAGAAAAATGAGGGAAAGCGCGAGAAAGTGAAAGAAACTGCAGGAACTATTTGTGAGAGAATATTGCACCTATAGATTTCTAGGGTTTGGACCTTCCCATTTGTGAGCTTTTTGTAAATTGATTTCTGGAGGGCTTTGAACCAGCCAATGATCTACTGGAAAACATGACGTTATCAGATATTTTCTGTGGGCAGACACTGGTAAATTCTTCTGCTTTTTTATATGTTCTATGAATTGTGTATTTTAATCAATTATAGTGTGTTCTTTATTGTTTGAGCTTCTGCTGAAGGAAGATCAAGATCACTTGTGACTCTGGTTCTTTTAACTATCTAGTCTTTTAATTTAATTAATTGACCTTGAATCCTGGGTTTTATGTGAATTTGGTTTTTAGGCCCCCTGTAATTTTATATTTATGGTCTTGGATACTGTGAAATTTTTTTCTGGACAACCACAGTTCCTAGGGCATTTACAAGGCGTTTCTGTACAGAGGGAGAGGGAGAGTTGAAATGTTCTGATTTTTTGCAAAAATTTTTCTGGACAACCACGGTTCCTAGGGCATTTACAAGGTGTTTCAATATTGAGGGAGGGAGAGAGTTGAAATGTTCCGAGTTTTTTGCAAAAAAATTTCTGGACAGCCACAGTTCCCGAGGTGTTTCAGTACACACGGAGAGAGAGTTGAAATGTTCTGAGATTTTTGCAAATTAATTTCCAAAAAATTTTCTGGAGGGCTTCGAACCAGCCAAAGGTGTCCTACTGGAAAACGTCTACGAATTCTTTGTTTTAATAGATTATATTGTGTCCTTTATTATTTGAGCTTCTGATGAAGGAAGGTTATTCGTAAGGTCAGTTGTAACTCTAATTTTTGTAATTATCCAGTCTTTTAACGTAATTTGGCAACCTTCACAGGACCTCAACCCCCCCTTGGGCATCTATGTGAAATTTGTGTTTGTTCCATAGCCAGATCTGAATTTGAGAAAAAGGAATCGAAATCCAAGGTAAATTTGCAGAAGTTTTTTTGCATTTTCTATTTTGGTTTCATTTTCAGCGTTTCTTGTGATTTAACTACAGTATGTACTTCTTAATGTAGAACAGTTGCGATATTATCCGTTTTGAAATCAATCTAATTTTAAATATGTAGACATCTGGCGGTTATCCTATGAGCACTGGTCTTGGGATTTTGAAAACTTATTCTAGTCAAACTCCTCAGGTATTTGCATTTTCTCAAAAGGCTTTTTGCATCTTTAATTTTCATGCCCTTTTTTATATTGTTTTTGTACTAATATAATATTGTTACAGCTGGTCAATATTTTTGGGTTGACGGGCAGCCAAGCATTCCTTTTGCGCTCAGGCAGACTGATCTCCGCTTCTGATTTTGTTTCCAAGCTTGAGGCATCTCCTGGTGGAATATACCTTTCCAAAGACGAATATTGCCAATGGTTGGCTGCTGCTCCAAAAAAGGATTTTATGGTAGAGCTTTTAATGGAAGGCTGGTTATGCGTTGTTGGAACAAATGTGAAATTATTAGATTCTATAAAGACTGTTGTTGGAGAAAGACCTAGTTCTATTTGTGCATACGTTGATGGGTCTTAATGGCTATTTGTGCATACGTTGATGGGTCTTAATGGCTTCCTTTAAGTGCGCTTAAAGGAAGCCATTAAGACCCATCAACGTATGCACAAATAGAACTAGGTCTTTCTCCAACAACAGTCTTTATAGAATCTAATAATTTCACATTTGTTCCAACAACGCATAACCAGCCTTCCATTAAAAGCTCTACCATAAAATCCTTTTTTGGAGCAGCAGCCAACCATTGGCAATATTCGTCTTTGGAAAGGTATATTCCACCAGGAGATGCCTCAAGCTTGGAAACAAAATCAGAAGCGGAGATCAGTCTGCCTGAGCGCAAAAGGAATGCTTGGCTGCCCGTCAACCCAAAAATATTGACCAGCTGTAACAATATTATATTAGTACAAAAACAATATAAAAAAGGGCATGAAAATTAAAGATGCAAAAAGCCTTTTGAGAAAATGCAAATACCCCATCACCGGCGAAGCGGGTATAGGTGTAGTATTTGTGAATGTATTTGGAAAATATATTAGTTATGTTAGCAAGCGCGTGGGTCGTTTGAGTGATCCCGAAGAAGCTGAACTAAGCGCACTAAAGGAAGCCATTAAAATTGCCAACGATTCAAATTATAGTGACTTCATTGTCTATTCTGATTCCTCGGACATGGTTAAAGGGATGAAGTTGAACCCGGCCAGCGATAAATTCTACGAAGCACAACTGAAATTTCCTAATATCTATGCGTGAGTACATTTTGTTCCATCATTCTTTAGTCCATTTTATTTATTTATTTATTTTTATAATTTGTTTTTAATATACTGATTTTTTATTTGATCAGAAATTTGCATGCTGAGGCGTCTAAAATCACGTGTTTCCGAATATCATTTGTATTCCGAGAGAGGAAAACCGCTGCCGATTTTTGCGCTAACGCGGCTTTAAGGGAGCTCCGGTGTCCCAAAGATTATGTAGAGACTCTTGTCCTGAAAGATCACACTGTGAAAAATTTCAGGTTTTATCGGAAAGTTCTTGCTATAGAAGAGGTTGGCGGAAGAAAGTGGTCACCGCAGGTGGAGTGGTTGTTTCTTGACCTTCCAGATTCCCACAAGGTAACTCTGTGAATTTTAGGCCTTTCTTGTCTTGTATCTCCCAAAACAGTTTTCTGTTCTGGGTGTTTTCTGCTTGGTTTTTTTTGGGAGAACAATTTTTTTAAAACTAGAGTTGAGGAGTTGCTGCTATTTTTAGAGAACAACTCAATGTTGTTTTTGGAGTTTTTGGAGAACATACTGAGAACTGTTCTCCACTTAAAAAAAAGCGGTACCCTCATTTTGTAACCTTTAAGGATTCAAGACCCAAAGTTATTAGGATATATAATGAGAAAGCATGCTATGTTTTCTTAAGAACTTGTGGCCAACTTGTCATTTTTTATTGAAAACTCCTGTAGAAAGAGCATATATAAGAGTATCCTAAGAACTTAAGAGCGTAGTTACTGGTTTCTTGCTTATCTGTCACCTTTGTCAATCCTAAGTGCCAAGTCATTAAAGTACTAATTATTCCTTTCACCTGACCGTGGGCTATGGCTTAGGTACTATTTTTTACTTACATTTGACTACAAAAAGTATTAGCACGAATCTCACCAAAAGCATCTTTGATATAAAAATAAAGTAAAATAAATTCTACTAAATAAATTACTAGGAACTCGAATGATTGAGATAAACTCAATAAAGAGCTTGATAACCTTTATTCCTCTGGGCAAGAGTTGTTACTCTTTGGGGATTCTGTTGTTATGCTGCTACTACACATACCAAGATAATTTAGAATTAGGTGATTCTATTAGTTAATATATACTTCTCTTTTCCTTTTTATCTAAATTGATTGGAAAAGAAATTATGTTCTTCACCAGCTATTAAACTACATAAATGATATAGACATAGATATATTATTTTCTCAATCAAATGGGGGACATCGTATAAACTTTATTTAGCCATCTCTCTGGCTTCCCTGCAAAGCTGCAGTTAGTCAAGCTTAAGCACCCTGCATTTGAACTTGTCAAATTGATCTCTAACAAATTAGATAGATTTGAGTGAGCTTCGAGGGCATTGCTTTGATTGTAGACATCCACGGATGGGACTTCCTCGTGTTCTGCTCTTCGAAAGGGTGTAGTAGAAGAATCAGAAAATTTGGTTCGACTCTTATGGCTTTGCCGTCCTTTACGCAGCAATCTTCTTTCGTGGCGCATTTTCTCAAGTTGGTCGTACTAGGTTTTGACCATATTGGTTGAAGCCTGCCCCTTCCCTTGCATCGTCAAAACGGCAAAACCTTTGAGCACAGACAGGCTATCTATCGAATGCCCCCCCTACGACACCGTGGGTAAAGGATGATGTCAGTCACTTTCAAATTCATATTCTTCGGTTTCAGCATACGCTGCTCCATCTGCCTCCCCACAGCACAGTGTATTTCGGCTGAGATCTTCAATTGCTTCATAAACTTGCCCAGAAATAGTATCCAGACCTGTAGGATCTGTCGAGTTTCATTCTTAAATTCACATCTCGAGCCTGCCCTTCGCTCCTTCCTATTGCATTTCATTAATTAATGAACAATCGCTCTATGAAACAATAGCTTCATAGACTTGCACCTTTTGGATTGACCTTTAACTGACATCCATCTATTTCAGTAACATCCATCTCAAATTAGGCCAAGTCATAGAAAGAAAACTCAAAATAATGGAGATTTTTTTCTAATACTTTTTGTTAAATAAAGTGAGTGAATCGCTTTCCATTAATTAGCTCATTGAACCGCCTTTGCTCTCTTTTTCACTTTGCCTTTGAAGCAGCTTGTGGCATATCATCAGCTTTGCGGTGTAAATGTTCTCATTTTCTGATTTCCATCATCATTGCTGCCATCAACACCAACCGAAACATCTCTATCAACATCTTTGTCTATAGATAGAGGAAAGTCTTTCAATTGGCTTTCTCGTTTCCCCATCCTGACGAACGAAGTCCCGTCTATCTCAACTTTCTTTCTAGTACTTCGTTTAAGCCAATAATAAAGACTCTGTAGCCACGAAAGCCTCGAAAGAAAGCAGAACGTGGGCTCTTTGTACAAATATGGAACAAACCTGATGGGGAGGACTCATTTACAGGGCAAATAATTCATTTAGTTTAGTGAAATAGTGTTCCTTGTGGAGACTTCCCAAACCTGGCTAAGGAATCTGCAATGCCACCGGTTTTGAAGTCAATAGTGTGCAACTGCAGGGCTTCCCACATCCTCTGGTTTGCTCGGTAAGGCTTCTGCGTTTGATAACCCATGTGGGAGTGTGTCAAGTTTTACTAAAGCGATTTTACATTTCAAAGGAACGGTTCCATGTGCAGAATCCATTGACTACCTCTAAACCTTACAACTACAGTGAGGCATCAACTAATAGGTCGATTTAAAGGTAGTCCAAACATTTCATAAAAGCCCCAATACCTTGCAGTATATCCATAAACTTTTGTTGTCTTCTAGTGACTTATTGTACTATAATGCCAGCTATAATCTATAAGGGGTGAACCAGTTTTATATTTTAAAATCTTGTTTGGCAGATCTTGGGTTGAAGGCTGTTGGTGCATTTGTTGGCAGTTCATATTGCCTTCCCAGCACCTTCTATGTTCTCAATTTCTGGTTTTCTTTTTCAATTGGGTTCTAAACTTTTTCCTTTGCAGAACTGATCGTAATTTTAACCGTAGTTGAAGGCTTATCATAATTTTGTCAAGTTTTATTTTAATTCTTGTCCTCTTGTTTGCTGCAGGAAGGACTTTTGGTGGTTGTGAAAATTCTGTTCCATGGAATGTCATCTGATACTATTGATACTTTAGGTGGTTTATTAATATATGTGGTTATCATACTTTTGAACATGGTATATCTCGGTGGTTTATTATATAGGTGAATATATCTCTGTTTGGATGTCACATGTATGAATGTCATGGGAATATCTCGGTGGTTTATATATTGCGGGTGTCGGTTTATTATATAGTTGAATATATCTCTTTAATTGCGAGATTGTGGATATTATATGTATGAACATGTGTAGTGTAGTGTTTTATTATATGTCGGGTGTCTCTTTATTCGCGAAATATTGAGGACATTATAATTATAATAGACTAAAACCAGCACTGTTTGGATGTCAATATGTGAATGTCACTTTGATTAAATAATAAACCTTAGCATTTCCTCGTGACACCCGACGAACAGAAAATCTGGCCAAATTAAACACTTCTTGCTGATTGTATGTTCTTTTGAGCATAAAATTTATAATGCTTTCTTCCAAATATCAACCTGCCGTAATCTTATTGCATGAAATCTGCAAAATCACCCAAGGTGTTCATTATTAATTGCAAGACGGATCTGTTAAAATAAAATTTTGGTTCGCGCGTTAGTTTGCTACATCTTTCGCGTTGAAGTTGTTATTTATTTAGCCAAATGATTAAATTTCTCTAGAAATGCCGTGGGCATCGGGTTACGCCACGTCACCCTAAGTCAAGGCAGTTTGAACGTCACCTCTGCAGTCAAAGTCACGACAGAGCCCAGATTTTAGCAAAGCTCCAATTAACAAATCGCCATATAAAAATAAGGGTGCCATAGCGATTGATAAACACTCGTATGGAATGCAATTTGTATACTTTAAGTGAAAGAGGGTAAAAACTTAGGGAATCTGATTTGCTTAAGTAACATTAGAGTTAAAAAAGAAAGAGGAAGAAAATATATATATATATGGTACTTCTTGTTTTCCCCCACAAACAACAAATTAAAAATTCTCCAAAATTGGAGAGAGAACCAAAAAATATATATATATATATATATTTCACACACCAGGGAAATTATTTGTTCCCATGTTCCGTGAATCTAAATTTATAAGTAAAAATTCATAAAAAATCTAAATTTTATACAGTTTAAATATATCAAATCTTAGCTATTGATTTTAATAAATACATGTACTGTATTATCTATACTCGGTTATGCATTGATTTTAGTTCCAGTTAGTGAGAGAAATGTTGGCTTTTTTTTTTTTTTTTAATTTTAGGGTGGCTTTGCCAAATCAGATTCGGGGAGTTTTCGTGGTTTCTCTTTCGCTCCAATAAGGGCTTGTTTTTAGTGGAGCTATTAAAAGGTTAAAGTGCCCTTTAGAAAAGAAAAAAGAGATGAAAAATAAAATAGATGTAAAATGACCAAAATAGGGAACCAAAAGAGAGGGTATTGGTATTTATTTGCAAAATGGTATAAGGGCATTTTGGGAAGATGAAAATGGCAGTTTAGGTAATTTTTTACTTAATATAGGCATGTGCAACGCACATAACTACTTCAATATAATTGCCTGACATATTATATGAATTAATCCCTCCCTTGTCCATTTTTTAAAACTGAACGAACTTATATATATCCAAAATAAATGTTAGGGGTTTTATTTGCCCAAATTTTAAATATTAAGAATGGTTTTCTCACTTTACCTTAAAAATAATCACCTAGTCGATCTGAAGACCAAGTACCTTGATCACATCAAAGGACATCCATTGGATGGAAGGACCTAGAACGTCGGTCCGACTCCACACCTAGACATTGAGCGACCCAAAGCCTCGGTCGTACCAAGACCACTAAGTCGGTCGAAGGATCTAAATCCCGAATCCAACCCCACACCTGGACATCGAGCGACCCAGAGCCTAGATGGTACTAAGGTCGCATAGTCGATTGAAGGACCTTTAGCATTGATCCGACTCCCACGTTAGAACCTCGATCGTCCCAAGGCCACTTAGTCAATCAAAGGATCTAGTGCCTCAATCCGACTCTCACACTTTGACGTTGATCGACCAAGAACCTCGATCATTCCAAAATCACTCAATCAATCGGAGGACCTCTAGCCTCGATTCGATTTTTATACTTGGACCCAGAGCCTCGATCATATCAAGGCCACTTTGTCTATTGATGGACCCAGACTCTGGATCCAACTCCTATACCAGGACATTGATCTAACATCGATCCAATCCAATTAGGGGAGATTGTAAGAAAAAATACAAGACAAAAATAGAGACCCTTACAATCACTGTTAATTAAGTTTAACGTCATTTTATGAGACCCACACTTGGCTGTGGCAAACTTGACACACTAGTGAAAGAAATTATGATGACCTCATAAAAGTGTGCAAAGGCTGAGGATAAGTCATCCCTACGAATAGGTACGAACTTTTACCCAACCACCCATTTAAGTCTTCAACCATTGGATAACAAATCTGATACGAGAGGCTTTAAAACGTGGATGGAGGGAAGCATTGAAAGCAGGACTTGGAAGTTTTTTTTTTTCATAAATTGGTCTCTATACTAATGATACATTTGGTCTATACGAATAAAATAGGATGTAAGTGGGAATAAAATGATAATGGAAATAAAATGAGAATGACCATTCTTATTTTATTATTTAGTTATAACTATGAAATGTGTAGAAACAGAATGATAATAATCATTTTTAGTGTTTAGTTGGATCAATTTAAAATTTAGAATTGAATAAATTTCAAATTGAGTTTTTAAAATATCTCTCTTACTAATAAATAAATTAAATTAACAAAATGACATTTTTTTTATAATTTTTTTTAAAATAAATGGTTGCAGTAGCAGTGGTGGAGGTGGAAAGTGGTAGTGGTGTAGGTGGTGGTGGTAGCAATGGTGGAAAGTGGAGTCGGTGGTGGTAGTGGAAAGCGGCAGTGGTGTTGGCGGAAAGCGGTGGCAGTAATGTGGTGGTGGTGGTGGAAGGAGATTGTAGTGTAGGTGACGGTGGTGGAAGCAATTGAGGTGATAGTGGTGGTGATGGAAGATAGTAGAGGTGGCGGTGTTGGAAGGAGGTGATGGTGGTGATGGAAGGTAGAGGAGGTGGCGGAAAGGATTTTCATTCCTAGGAATGGATTGCCATTCCAACGGAATGATCATTTCTATTTTAAATTACATACTAAATAAAAAAATGATTGAAATAAGCATTCTATTTCATTTTATTTCATTCTTACACACCAAAAATAATATAAATTCCGAGTTTGATTTTTCCCTACCCTCACTCACTTTCCTTGAGGTGGACCATTCTCCCCTCCTTTCCTTTGTTTAGGGTCATACCTCATATTTAATCTAACGTTGACCTGACCGACTTCCTTGGACTACAAATTCCTAAAATAATAAGGATCTGGCCTATAGTTTAAAAAATAATATATTTCTCATAAATCTTTGATGTCATGCCTGGACAAATTTGAAAAATAATTATTCTTTGAAAAACTAAAAAAGATATGAATGTACAAATATTGTGGAATATAATTGACATTTCACAACGTCAGTAAACTTACTGACAACACAATTTTGGACCTACCGAAAACGTTCCTGTTATTTAGGGTCAGGTGTTTTTATCCAAAATATTGCATCAAAGGTCATGCAAACCAACCATCCGAATTTAATTTGGGTAAATAATGCCCAAGTGAGGAGGTAAGGATATCCTCCCACTAGGACTAGATAAAATATTGTACAGTTGTAATGATAAGTGCAATGACATTTTAATATATATTCCAATTGTACAAATGACCTACCAAGGCAACCATAAATTTGTTCTTGTAAGAATGTGTATATATATATATGCATGTTGATAATAAGACCATGCAATAATTTCTCTTAGTATATACATATATATATATTTATATTTTAACTCACTTGACAATACTAACCATTGTCGGGATATAAAAAAAAAAAAAAACAATATAAAATCCAGTGATATCTACTAAAAACATTTTAAAGTGGAATCTGAGAGTTTGAATTTTATTAAAAATAAGAATCCGAATTCCTCCTTTATGTGCTGCAGAGTGAATCCAGCTTGTGCCATTTTGATGCATTGTATAGAGTCCAATGCAAAGTTACATGGAGTCCAAATACATTTGTGTTGCACCTCCTCCTCTCTCCTCTTATCATAAACCCTGACATTTTTTCTATGAAAAAAATAAAAAAATAAACTATAATCCACTGGCCTATTTTCCAATCCTTGTGTTGCAGATCACCATTAAAATAATGGTGTATATAATTTATTAAAATCGCCATTAAAAAATTTATTATTATTAAAGCATAAGTCGGTGCCATTAAATAGTAACGGGATAACAACGGTGGGCACCCCACCGGGTCCTTCCAACGATAAGTCAATGCTTGAATATTTATATATCAAATACATGAAATTTTTGTAAGTATTTTTTTAAATCTTTTTATGTTGACTGGTTTAATTTTTGTAGAAGAGTTAAAGTTATCGTTTCCGTCCGCATCTTCGGTTCAACCTTTGAACTAATCAAATATTTTTCCTTAATTACCTTCTGAGATTGTATACATGAAATTTTTGTAAGTATTTTTTAAAACCTTTTTATGTTGACTAGCAGAAGAGTTAAAGTTATTGTTTCCGCATCTTCAGTTCAACCTTTGAACTAATCAAATATTTTTCCTTAATTACCTCACGAGATTGTCACATTATCTTAATTACCTTATAAATACCATTTGGCTTACTCTATCACCTTATTTTCCTCATCAATTATTATTATTATTATTATTAATTTTCCTTAATTAGTACTCTCACACACGCACATTGCTTGAATCATTGACCTCCCTTTAAGAACTTATTTTAATGGTATAAAAAAATTATTAAAATCACCATTAATAACTGAGCTTTTTAATAAAATCACCATTAATAAATGATGGTTAATAATTATTAAAAGCCCCATTAATTCAGTTACAAATTTGAAACTGAGCTTTTTTTATATTATTATTTGTTTTTATTTGAGGTTGTTTGCAGAGGAATGATTTTAATAATTTAAAACATGATTCATGATGTATGTTTGCTTCAGATTATATTTCAAGTAATTCCTAAAAGTTTATATTTTTTGAATTATTGTTTGGAGCAATACTCGGGTCCTGCCCTGTTAGGACAAAATTTGTCCTGCAATTGACGCGGACCACCAAAACACCAACTTCTGTTCCAAATTAAAAATATTATTAAAAAAGTCTAGGGGTGGATCCAACCTGTTTTAATCCGGGTGAATTCTTGAAAAATCCAGTCTGTCGACATAAATATAGGTCATTGAGCATCTCCGGTCTGAATAGCCGCTTCCGCCGCCACTACCCACCTTCTCTCCACTCATTTGTTGCTCTTTCTCTTTCAAGGTTTATACAACTTAAAACTCAAATACAGTAGAAAAGCTCATAAAGTTGGATTTTAGATTCATGATTTATTCTGCTGGCTCTAAATGATCTATATTTATATAATGTACATTACATTCGTTTCCTTGTATCAATGTCCAGTTAAAAATCTCATTGCGTTATTATAATGCTCACATCTTGCATCTCCTTTTCTAATGTGAATACCTTCAAAATTAACAAATAGAGAATAAAAATTGCCAATTTGGAGAAAAATACCCTAAATTCAGAGATTTTATGTCCATGAGAAATTATTCTTTAAACTATTAGTGGTTATTTTGGGAGTCAATATTTTATTTTTTTATTTTTTATTTTATTTTATTTATTTTTTCATTATACCATTAATGTGCTATTAAACTCAAGCAGGGTTAATGTATTTGTGTGGGGGGCAATTGTTCCCTCTGATTTTTTTTATTTGAGTTGCATTCCTTATGATTTGTCTAGTAGGATGAAACTTAATTCGTTCTTTAACATTAACATTCTCATATTACTAAAGTTAACAATAACATTCTTTAATGTTCTCACATGATGTAAATTAATTATAATACCCTCTAACTTTTGAATTGATTTAATATTTAAATTATAAAATTATCATTTTAACATTCACTTATTTTAATCAACCAAAATATCATTTATACATACATATATATACACACACACATGTATAAATCTGAAAAAAAAAAAAAAAACCAAATTATTCCATGCTCTCTCTCCCCGCCGATCATGGAGACCCACAAGACCCATATTGTCTCAGTTTAATAAAAACCTAAATCACAGACAACTATGGCCGCCCCTCTCTCTGCACCGACCATCGCAGCTCAACCACCATCCCTCTCATCTCCCTTCTACCTCTCTCCGTTCTCTCTCCTCTCCACCCAACGTCGCTGCCACCCCACTGTCGCAGTCACATCCACCATCTATCTCCTCTCTCTTCTTCCTCTCTCTCTCTCTCCTCTCCACCTCATCTTCTCCACCCACTGCTGCCATCGCCATCTAGCTCTTGTGCGGAGGAAGTGGTCATCGCTGCTGCGGATGACGGAGGAGGCGGTGAGTTTCTGGTGGCATTCACGGTTGTTCTCGGGGTTTAAGATTGGGAAAGTGATTCAGAGTCAGGTGGGTTTGGGTCGGTTGGCCCGTTTTGCTCAGCGCCCGGTGAAGCCATTCACGGCAGGGTGCCACTTTCAGTCAGCAATTTTGAAAAGTTGGAGAAGGTATATACATAAAATATATATATGCGCTCGTCAACCTACCAGCCACCTCGATCTAGAGGAGGCCGCAGGAGTCGACATTCTCACTCTCCACCACCGATCGCCTCCTCGTACTACCCTTCTGCACCCCCACATGCTCCTCGCCCTCAGCGGCTTATTAGGCCTCCCACCTGAAAAAATAATTTTATCACAGGCCATGAAAGATCAGAAAGGGGAATTTGCAGGGAGAATGGGTTGGAAGATGCAAGAGGAGGGTGTTTGTTATGCAAGAGGAGGGTATTTTCCGGGAAAAAAAGAGGAGGGTGTTTGTTATGGGCATTTAAGTAATTTAGTAAGTATGATATTTTATATTAAAAATTAATTAAATAATAAGGAATAATTTAAACATTTCACGACGTTTTAGAGTGACAGTAGGTGTCATTATTAAAAAATGGGTAAAATTTCTTCTACCTATCAATAAGGCAAACCTCTTACTGTAATTAATCTTTTGGGTAAAGTACACTAACACCCCCTGAGGTTTGTCAAAAGGACAGCCAGATGAAACTTGCTCTGTTTTGGGACAATGACACCCCCTCATAATATTTATAAGCCAAACAGAGCCTTAAAACATATGAAAAGTCAGCATTACCCTTTACTATTTTATTAATTTTAATTATAAAATATTAAAATAATTAAATGACCAAATTACCCTCAACACCCCATCAATCCTACAACCGGATTCTGCAGCAACCACACCAAAACTCCACAACCACCAACACCCACCCCCAAACCACCGTGCCTTCAAGCTCTCCAATGGAAGGGAAGGATCAAGCTTTTGGTCTATCACCATGGCAATGTGAACAACTTCAAAAACACCATGGCAACGTCAACAACTTCACCTCATCCTCTCTTCCTGAAAAACCCTAACCTTCACCTTCTCAAAAGCCCCAACACAATCACCACCACCCACTTCAATGGCTTCCCCCTCAACCTATCTTCGTGCCTCAACAAACCCATATCGATCACCTATTCAACAACCCAAGTCCAAGATCACCCAACCTCCACCTCCCAATCCCAAGATCGGGTCTTCAATTTCGCCGCCAGTCCAGCCACTCTACCTGAAAACGTGCCCAAGATGGCCAAATCTGAGCTCTAAAATTGGCGTGGAACCAGAATGAGCGTGATGGAAATGAGCCACAGAGGGAAAGAGTTCCTCTCAATCATCCAGAAAGCAGAGTCAGATCTGCGTACCCTTCTCAGCATACCCTCCGATTACGCAAGGCGGCGCAACCACCCAGTGCTCTGCGATCCCTCTCAATCTGTTGAAACCTCATTCTCTTCGTCTGGGTCGCGGGAACTGTTCGTGCTTGGGGTTCGTCGATCTGAACTAGGCTTCACCGGATTTGGGGCTCGCTGGACAGAATCAGGTCTTGTAGTTTGAAGCTTCGTCAGACTGATGGCTCCAATTTTGTGCGCTGCCGTGGGATATATCAAGACCTGACAGAAAGAATCAACCAAGCGAGAGCACTCACCGTCGCCCTCGTCGAACAACTATTGCCACCGCTGCCATTAAGCCCAACTCATGACTTGCGTACTCCGGCGTTGGGTAAGCTCACCGATGGAATCGAAGGATAAAGGCCCGCATCCATTCACCATCGCCACCTGTCTATACATACATATATGTGTGTGTATATATATATATGTATTTGTATATACATATATATATGTGTATGTGTCTGTGTATATATGTATGTGTGTGCGTTGGTGTTGGGGCGACGGAAGAGAGAACAGAGGAGAGAGAGAGAAATTGGAACGGGTATCTGAGGATAGAATTGTCATTTCATGGTCAATATAAAAGTCAAAGGACAGAAATGTCAACTCATTACCATTGGGGTGTCTTTGGTTATTATATCAAACTTGAGGGGGTGTCTTTGTCCCAAAATAGGTTAAGTTTCATCTGGCTGTCCTTATCCCAAACCTCAGGGGGTGTCAGTGTACTTTACCCTAATCTTTTTTATTTTTTAGTTTATAATATTTTATTTAGTGATTTTTCGTATTTGAGATGTATACCTATAAAGTTTTTATATTGTCTCCTGTCGCCCACTCTTACTCAATTTCTTGGATCCATACCTTATTAAACTGGTTAAAAAACATAAAGAAAAAAAAAAAAAAACCGTTTGAAGAAATGAATATATAAAACTTGTTTATTTTTATTTGAAAAATATAAATTTGTTGGGAAATAACAAAAACCTATTGGCACTATTTTATAATAATTTATGTAAAAAATATAGCCTGTTCAAATCTTGTAGGCCGAAAGCCGGGCTTAGAATTCTCAAAATACGTTTGGTCCGGACCGGCCGGCCCGTTATGCACCCTTACCCAGACGCATCTGACAATACACTTTTTTTATGTTGACGTACTTTCTTACATTTGTCTATCTCTCTCGCCCGATCTACTTTCTTTCTCTCTCTCCCCCCAACCAGTTTGAACGTGCAGATCGGCGATCTACGCTCTTTCACTCTCTTGTTTCTTTCTTTTCATGTCTCTCCCCCCGAACGAAGGTATTCTTCTCAATTTTATGCATGCTTTTGAAAATCCAATTTCTTATTATTTCTCTAATTCTCTTTCTTGTCCTAAAATTGATCTTTTTCAAGATCTGATTTCTGATATTTGATTTGTATGATATTGGTCTTATAGTTTCATGTGTATGGATTTGACGGCTTTCACCTTAGATCCTTACTAGCAATTGAAAAACCCTTTATTTTTCTTATTAGAAGGAAAATTAGGTTTTTTTTTTCCAAAATTGAAGAGCCCATTATTTTTAGGGTTTTTTTTTTTTTTTTTTTACCTATTGCTTAGAAGAAAAATTCCTTTGATTTATTTTTTGGTAAGGTAAATTAAAATAATTTTTTAAACAAAAAAATTTCGATTGGTAGCGATTAATTGATAATGTAATAGGGTCACATTATTGATGTGAAAAGACGGAAACTTTTTGGGTGGGTTACAGCTGTATGTTGTTGTAATTATTCGATAGATAGACGGATACTTTTTATGTAGAGAGATGGATACTTTTTGGGCGGTGAAACATACCTCTAATTGTCCCTAATTAATGTGGGACGGAAGTAGTAACTATTTTTTGTCTACAGTATTATTTATGAAACTGTGTACCTGACTCACGAGGTAAATTTACCCTTTTCATATTATCATTTAGTTGAATTTAATGATCCATCTCCTCTCTTACTCTCTCTTCCAGATCAGCTGAAGCTTTTGAGAAAACAGGACCCAACTGAGGGTAGCAGAACCGGAGCGAAGCTCTGTGAACAAACAACAACCAAACTGGTGAATAACTCCATCAACGTGCAGATCGGCGAGACCCGGAAGTTTAAACACCGTGAACTCCGGCGAGCTTCAGTTCAGTACAGAGATCTCCGGCGAGCTCTCTTACTCCCTCTACCAGACCAGGAAGCAAATCGAACACTACCGACGCGCCGAACCAACTGAAGCTAGCAGAACCGGCGTGAAGCTCTGTGAGCAAACAACAACCAAACTGGTGAATAACTCCATCAACGTGCAGATCGGCGAGACCCAGAAGTTTAAACACCATGAACTCCGGCGAGCTTCAGTTCAGTACAGAGATCTCCGGCGAGCTCTCTTACTCTCTCTACCAGACCAGGAAGCAAATCGAACACTACCACCGCGCCGAACCAACTGAAGCTAGCAGAACCAGCGTTACCAAACTGAACGGTGAAGAAGTGAAGACCGGCGAGACCCAGAAGTTTAAACACCATGAACTCCGGCGATTCAGTTCAGTACAGAGATAAACCAATCGCCGTGAACAGTTCCGGCGAGCCCATTAACAAATCCAGAAGTGCGCGTGCTCCTGTTTAGGCAAACTTCAGTTTCGGTGAGTCAATCCGGCGAGACGAGAAGTTCCGGTGAGCTCCAGCGAAGCCTCAACCTTCTCGACCCAACTGCAGTAATGTTTTCCGGCGTGTTTCAGCGATGACCGACGCGAGCTACAACAAACAACGTCGACCAAACTTCAGAGACAAGTTTAAGTCCGGCACCTAGAGTTCTCTAACTCCGGCGAGGCTCAATCCACTCCGGCGAGTTTCAGTGAGTTGCCGGTGCGAACTTCAGGCGTAGCTTCAGTTCGTAGCACCTCTGTTACGGTGACCAGGCTGTTTCGGCGAGCTTCAATCACTCCCAACTGCTCAGGCGAGTTTCAGTGTGTTACCGGTCCAAACTTACAGATCCAAAGTGAAAACCCATATCAGGTCAGGTCCGGGTGAGCTTTTTCCATACAGATTTTTTATAAATAATGGGTAATATTGGAAAAAATCATTATTTATAAAGTATAGACTTATTTGTAAATATTTTTGAAACATACAACTTCTTGATCTCCCTTAAAAAAATTTTAGGACTAATTTGTCTTTAAAATTTAAAAGTATAAACTTAATATGGTAAAAACTACTGTATTCAGGGGCGGAGCCAGTGTGTGCCCTTGGCCTGGCTCGCCTAAAATTCCTATTTAATGCCCCCTAAAATTTTTAATTTTTAATTTTTAAAATTATATCCTAAATTTTTCTTTCTTTTCACTTATGCTCTTAAAATTCCTTTGATTTCCTAAAAAAAAAAAAAAAATGTTAAATTTTCCTTCCTTTTTGGGATGGGATGATTACGTTCTGTATGCTTCATTATCATGGTGGGTTGAGTTATGGAAGGCAGACCCGAAATCTTGATCTCGTGTTCGAAAGAAATGAAAAGATTAATACAATATCTTCTAGGTTGAAATCAGAAAAGGTTTATCTTAAACACTTAAATCTTGTTTTTCAGCTTTCTATTTCCAGTGGTATTCAACACCTTCTTTTCCTTCCTCTCAGATTCCGCATAGAACCGGGTTTGGTATTGGAGAGGAAATTGCCGGTGCTTGTACCTTTATTTTTGTGGACTGATCACCTATTCAGTGACGGTTGTAATGCACACACCAAATATTATATCGAACAGGTAAACATTAAAGACTGCTTTGTCATTATGATTTATTAATATTTTTTACACCAACATATAATTGGCCTCGGATGATTTACTCTATACTTTATAATCATAGAGAATTTGAATTTTTATATCTGCAGTCCAATTGGGGTTAAAATTTTTGGGAAGGCCCAATAAAATTTTTGGGCAGGCCCAGTAACACTTAGTACATTTTTTTATAGTCCAGTTGTTTAAATAACCCAGTTTCAATTCCCAATTTTAGAAACCCTGTAATTATATATACATAATTATAATTACATGATGTAATCAGATATTTTCCCTGGGGAAACACTGGTAAATTCTTCCGCTTCTTTGTATCTTCTATGAATTCTATATTTTAATCCATTATGTTGTGTACTTTACTGTTTGATCTTCTGCTAAAGGAAGATCACCTGTGACTCTGGTTCTTGTAACTATCCAGTTAACTTAATTTATTGATCTGCTATCCTGGGTTTTAAGTGAAATTGGTTTTTTAGGCCTCTGCTGCTTTTGTATATTCTATGAATTGTTTTTTTGAATCAATTATTTTGTGTACTTTACTGTTTGATCTTCTGCTAAAGGAAGATCACTTGTGACTCTGGTTCTTTTAACGATTCAGTATTTTTAACTTAATTTGACCTGCAACCCTGGGTTTTAAGTAAAATTGGTTTTTTAGGCCCCAGTAAATTTATATATATGGGTTTGCCACAACCACAGTTTCAGTACAGAGGGAGGGAGAGAGTTGAAATGTTCAGAGTTTTTAGCAAAAAAGATTCTGGAGGGCTTCGAACCAGCCAAAGATCTCCTGCAAAAAAAGAGTGTTCTATACAGTCGCATAATTTTATGAATTTCATTAACATCAACGCGAACTGAAAAAATTGAAGGCCTCTAAGCCCCATCTTAACTAAAAAAAATTAAAAGCTGAATCATAAGCCACTAAAACACCCAAAGAAGAGTCGAACAATATTGAATTCTACCAGTTAGATTCATTTGGCAAAGAACCCTACCAGACCTGTGTTTTGTTAGTTCATCATTGTATTCTTTTCCCCTTCGGAGTGTGGCAGTACAAAATTTCTGATAGAAAAACTAAAATATCAAATATGACTCTCTCTCTCTCTCACATCACAACAGAAGTATATTTTGCCACAACTCAACACTCAGATACTAAAGACGTACAGGACCCAAGGATATAAAAATGTCATTGAGAATAATCTAACTATTAGTCAAGAGATTATGTATTCATGGAAATTATGTAACCATGGATAGCAACGTAGGCCCCTCAATGAAAGATCATGTTAGTGTATCCTGTACTATCTTAACCACTATGTACATTTACAGAAGCATCACAACAGTACCACTTACCCTTTTTATCTCTTCTGCTGAAATACATGTCATATGCGAGGGAAGTTCCTCCTTCTCCAAGTCCTAAACAATCAGATGCAAATTTTAACAAGGAAGCAGGTATTATAGCAAATCTTAGCTGAAATAGAAGATAAGAAGTAAGACTGCATACCAATTCACCAATTAAAATGGCACCTTCAAGAGCAGCATTGGCTGCATATGAGAATTAGAATTTCAGTGAGCTGACAGAGTATTGAAAATTAGCAGATCAAACTTAAGTAAACAACGAAAGAGAAAAAGGGTACCAAATTGATCAAAAGAACGATGTATCTCCAACAGTCTTTGACCATCTCGAAGCAATACAAGAAGCTTCTCTGTGGAAAAAGGGTTTGAAATATATAAATAAGCATGAGCCCAAAATAGAGACCGGAGATAAAATTGTAGCACCACTAAAATACATTCCACCTGAACTATCTGAAACTTAAAAGTGCATTTGACAGTAAATCTCTTCAGATGGCATGTATGATTTGCAGCATGCATGAAATAATCACATAAGCACCAACATGCTTTAAGGCATGCAGAATTTTGATTAAAAATCCATATGGCAGTGGAATGTTCAGAGTTTAAAGTCCTTAAAAAGCTAGACATGGACATAACGAAGACATGTGAATGCATAAAATATAGTCTAGGCTTCTGCTTTATAATTTCATTTTTATAGAAAAAAAACCTTTGTTATTCATTTTTCTTACAATCACATTTTATCTTTTACACATTATTATTATTATTTGCTGAAACCTTGAATTTCTAGAAAAATTAATTTTAACCATTACCAGTTACTTTAAATTTTAAATCTAAAACAATATAAATCAGTGTTAAGAATATCTTTTGCATAAAATATGCTTTGAATAATATAAATGATAGTTTTTGTGAATAAAATTGGAGAAAGGCAAGAAAGGAACACAATTAAGTATAGAACTTCTTTGGAAATAGCTTCTAAAAGCAAGACACTAAGGCTTTATTGTCTTAACGGAAATTCATTCGACTCCGTTGTCTTTGATGTAGAAAAGTAGGACTTTTTCCGTACTTTTCCCAATTAGAATTTACGGAATAAGCAAAATTTCAATGCTGCGATCCAATTCCAGTATCCAGAAAGATTTTTTTTTTTCTTCTTCTTGAAGTTATTTGGTATACCTAGGAATTGTTGACTTCCAACATATTAACCATGCTAATGATCTCCAAATTGTCAATCTATATAAAGGTAACAGAAAAATGCCCTGATTCACTTCATATACAGAAACAAAAATGATTAAACTATATTTTAGTCCCTTAGAAAATGTAACCTCATACTCTAATTCACTACAAAATCTAATATGTAGTCTACCCATTTAGGTAAACAGCTCTGAGAAATTTCCAAAAGCAACCTGAACAAAAGTTTAACTAGAAAGGAAATTAGGGTATATCAGTAGTAGACAAAAACTATCATACAATTGCACCCATAACACAAATATGAGCCTAATTATAGCCTTTAGAAGCAATCAAGGATTGTAGCCTTGCTGTATCTCTTCTCCATACAAAAGTGAAAGGTTCTACCCCCTCCTCTTCTCTAAAAAAGAGAGAAAAAAAAAAATTGCCTTTCGAAGCAGATTGGGTGATAATGGCTAAATTGAAGAATCTGATGTGTTTCAGATTGTATAACAAACAATAACTTTTGACATACTAACAAAGGAAAACCAGAACTTCATATTTAACTTTTAAACCAGAACAGGATTGAAACTGTATATTTAAAACAAAAGAAAACCATAACTTCTTATAGTAACTTTCAGAAAGAGCTCACTTAATATCAGAAATATAATCGTTAGACGAAGAAGATAAGCTAATTAGAGAGAGCTTACTGTCAAGATAACTTGCAAGAGAAGTAGACAGATATCTTCTGGTCCTGCCCAAGACATTGAACTCAAACTCTTTTGGTATCTGATAAATCACTGAAAAATCCTCCGAAAACCGAACAAATTGCTTTGGCAGCTCCGATTCCCCCTCCGCTGCCTCACCAACACTTCCCTATATAATCCAAATATCTCCCAAAAATATAAAAAACCTAAATTCACAATCACAGAAAACCTCAAATCAATCCAAACACTACACTAGCAAAAACCTCCCTGAAAAAATAAACCCCTGATTGAACACCACTCTTCCAAACCTGTTATCTAAAAAACCCTAACTTGACTAATCCCAAAACCCTCTAAATTAAGACTAAAGAATTTTGAGTTTGGTAGCTCCTCCAGATTGATGGGACTGAATGGTTTACGATAAACGGTCAGATTCAGTCACACAGGAATGATTCAAGAGAAAATTGGAAAGAAAAATGAGGGAAAGCGCGAGAAAGTGAGATAAACTGCAGGAACTATTTGCGAGAGAATTTTGCACTTACAGATTTCTTGGGTTTGGACCTTCCCATGATGGCTAAATTGAAGAATCTGTTTCAGTTAATAAGATTGTATAACAAACAATAACTTTTACTTGTATTTTTACTTATCAAAAAAAAAAAAAAAAAAGGTTGTCTAAGAAATAATAACTTTTGACATACTAACAAAGGAAAACCCGAACTTCATATTTAACTTTTAAACCAGAACAGGATTGAAACTGTATATTTAAAGCAAAGGAAAACCAGAACTTCTTATAGTAACTTTCAGATAGAGCTCACTGAATGTCAGAAATATAAATGTAAGACGAAGAAGATAAGCTAATTAGAGAGAGCTTACTGTCAAGATAACTTGCAAGAGAAGTAGCTAGATAGATCTCTTCTGGTCCTGCCCAGGACATTGAACTCAAAACTCTTTCGGTATCTGAAAAATGACCGAAAAGTCCTCTGAAAACCAAACAAATTGCATTGGGCAGCTCCGATTCCCCCTCCGCTGCCTCACCAACACTTCCCTATATAATCCAAATATCTCCCAAAAATATAAAAAACCAAAATTCACAATCACAGAAAACCTTAAATCAATGCAAACACTACCCTAGCAAAAATCTCCCTGAAAAAATAAACTCCTGATTGAACACCAATCTTCCTAACCTGTTATCTAAAAGACCCTAACTCGACTAATCCCAAAACGCTATAAATTAAGACTAAAGAATTTGAGTTTGGTATCTCCTCCAGATTGATGGGACTGAATGGTTAACAATAAACGGTCAGATTCAGTTACACGGGAAGGATTCAAGAGAAAACTGGAAAGAAAAATGAGGGAAAGCGCGAGAAAGTGAAAGAAACTGCAGGAACTATTTGTGAGAGAATATTGCACCTATAGATTTCTAGGGTTTGGACCTTCCCATTTGTGAGCTTTTTGTAAATTGATTTCTGGAGGGCTTTGAACCAGCCAATGATCTACTGGAAAACATGACGTTATCAGATATTTTCTGTGGGCAGACACTGGTAAATTCTTCTGCTTTTTTGTATGTTCTATGAATTGTGTATTTTAATCAATTATAGTGTGTTCTTTATTGTTTGAGCTTCTGCTGAAGGAAGATCAAGATCACTTGTGACTCTGGTTCTTTTAACTATCTAGTCTTTTAATTTAATTAATTGACCTTGAATCCTGGGTTTTATGTGAATTTGGTTTTTAGGCCCCCTGTAATTTTATATTTATGGTCTTGGATACTGTGAAATTTTTTTCTGGACAACCACAGTTCCTAGGGCATTTACAAGGCGTTTCTGTACAGAGGGAGAGGGAGAGTTGAAATGTTCTGATTTTTTGCAAAAATTTTTCTGGACAACCACGGTTCCTAGGGCATTTACAAGGTGTTTCAATATTGAGGGAGGGAGAGAGTTGAAATGTTCCGAGTTTTTTGCAAAAAAATTTCTGGACAGCCACAGTTCCCAAGGTGTTTCAGTACACACGGAGAGAGAGTTGAAATGTTCTGAGATTTTTGCAAATTAATTTCCAAAAAATTTTCTGGAGGGCTTCGAACCAGCCAAAGGTGTCCTACTGGAAAACGTCTACGAATTCTTTGTTTTAATAGATTATATTGTGTCCTTTATTATTTGAGCTTCTGATGAAGGAAGGTTATTCGTAAGGTCAGTTGTAACTCTAATTTTTGTAATTATCCAGTCTTTTAACGTAATTTGGCAACCTTCACAGGACCTCAACCCCCCCTTGGGCATCTATGTGAAATTTGTGTTTGTTCCATAGCCAGATCTGAATTTGAGAAAAAGGAATCGAAATCCAAGGTAAATTTGCAGAAGTTTTTTTGCATTTTCTATTTTGGTTTCATTTTCAGCGTTTCTTGTGATTTAACTACAGTATGTACTTCTTAATGTAGAACAGTTGCGATATTATCCGTTTTGAAATCAATCTAATTTTAAATATGTAGACATCTGGCGGTTATCCTATGAGCACTGGTCTTGGGATTTTGAAAACTTATTCTAGTCAAACTCCTCAGGTATTTGCATTTTCTCAAAAGGCTTTTTGCATCTTTAATTTTCATGCCCTTTTTTATATTGTTTTTGTACTAATATAATATTGTTACAGCTGGTCAATATTTTTGGGTTGACGGGCAGCCAAGTATTCCTTTTGCGCTCAGGCAGACTGATCTCCGCTTCTGATTTTGTTTCCAAGCTTGAGGCATCTCCTGGTGGAATATACCTTTCCAAAGACGAATATTGCCAATGGTTGGCTGCTGCTCCAAAAAAGGATTTTATGGTAGAGCTTTTAATGGAAGGCTGGTTATGCGTTGTTGGAACAAATGTGAAATTATTAGATTCTATAAAGACTGTTGTTGGAGAAAGACCTAGTTCTATTTGTGCATACGTTGATGGGTCTTAATGGCTTCCTTTAAGCGCACTAAAGGAAGCCATTAAGACCCATCAACGTATGCACAAATAGAACTAGCTTGATAACCTTTATTCCTCTGGGCAAGAGTTGTTACTCTTTGGGGATTCTGTTGTTATGCTGCTACTACACATACCAAGATAATTTAGAATTAGGTGATTCTATTAGTTAATATATACTTCTCTTTTCCTTTTTATCTAAATTGATTGGAAAAGAAATTATGTTCTTCACCAGCTATTAAACTACATAAATGATATAGACATAGATATATTATTTTCTCAATCAAATGGGGGACATCGTATAAACTTTATTTAGCCATCTCTCTGGCTTCCCTGCAAAGCTGCAGTTAGTCAAGCTTAAGCACCCTGCATTTGAACTTGTCAAATTGATCTCTAACAAATTAGATAGATTTGAGTGAGCTTCGAGGGCATTGCTTTGATTGTAGACATCCACGGATGGGACTTCCTCGTGTTCTGCTCTTCGAAAGGGTGTAGTAGAAGAATCAGAAAATTTGGTTCGACTCTTATGGCTTTGCCGTCCTTTACGCAGCAATCTTCTTTCGTGGCGCATTTTCTCAAGTTGGTCGTACTAGGTTTTGACCATATTGGTTGAAGCCTGCCCCTTCCCTTGCATCGTCAAAACGGCAAAACCTTTGAGCACAGACAGGCTATCTATCGAATGCCCCCCCTACAACACCGTGGGTAAAGGATGATGTCAGTCACTTTCAAATTCATATTCTTCGGTTTCAGCATACGCTGCTCCATCTGCCTCCCCACAGCACAGTGTATTTCGGCTGAGATCTTCAATTGCTTCATAAACTTGCCCAGAAATAGTATCCAGACCTGTAGGATCTGTCGAGTTTCATTCTTAAATTCACATCTCGAGCCTGCCCTTCGCTCCTTCCTATTGCATTTCATTAATTAATGAACAATCGCTCTATGAAACAATAGCTTCATAGACTTGCACCTTTTGGATTGACCTTTAACTGACATCCATCTATTTCAGTAACATCCATCTCAAATTAGGCCAAGTCATAGAAAGAAAACTCAAAATAATGGAGATTTTTTTCTAATACTTTTTGTTAAATAAAGTGAGTGAATCGCTTTCCATTAATTAGCTCATTGAACCGCCTTTGCTCTCTTTTTCACTTTGCCTTTGAAGCAGCTTGTGGCATATCATCAGCTTTGCGGTGTAAATGTTCTCATTTTCTGATTTCCATCATCATTGCTGCCATCAACACCAACCGAAACATCTCTATCAACATCTTTGTCTATAGATAGAGGAAAGTCTTTCAATTGGCTTTCTCGTTTCCCCATCCTGACGAACGAAGTCCCGTCTATCTCAACTTTCTTTCTAGTACTTCGTTTAAGCCAATAATAAAGACTCTGTAGCCACGAAAGCCTCGAAAGAAAGCAGAACGTGGGCTCTTTGTACAAATATGGAACAAACCTGATGGGGAGGACTCATTTACAGGGCAAATAATTCATTTAGTTTAGTGAAATAGTGTTCCTTGTGGAGACTTCCCAAACCTGGCTAAGGAATCTGCAATGCCACCGGTTTTGAAGTCAATAGTGTGCAACTGCAGGGCTTCCCACATCCTCTGGTTTGCTCGGTAAGGCTTCTGCGTTTGATAACCCATGTGGGAGTGTGTCAAGTTTTACTAAAGCGATTTTACATTTCAAAGGAACGGTTCCATGTGCAGAATCCATTGACTACCTCTAAACCTTACAACTACAGTGAGGCATCAACTAATAGGTCGATTTAAAGGTAGTCCAAACATTTCATAAAAGCCCCAATACCTTGCAGTATATCCATAAACTTTTGTTGTCTTCTAGTGACTTATTGTACTATAATGCCAGCTATAATCTATAAGGGGTGAACCAGTTTTATATTTTAAAATCTTGTTTGGCAGATCTTGGGTTGAAGGCTGTTGGTGCATTTGTTGGCAGTTCATATTGCCTTCCCAGCACCTTCTATGTTCTCAATTTCTGGTTTTCTTTTTCAATTGGGTTCTAAACTTTTTCCTTTGCAGAACTGATCGTAATTTTAACCGTAGTTGAAGGCTTATCATAATTTTGTCAAGTTTTATTTTAATTCTTGTCCTCTTGTTTGCTGCAGGAAGGACTTTTGGTGGTTGTGAAAATTCTGTTCCATGGAATGTCATCTGATACTATTGATACTTTAGGTGGTTTATTAATATATGTGGTTATCATACTTTTGAACATGGTATATCTCGGTGGTTTATTATATAGGTGAATATATCTCTGTTTGGATGTCACATGTATGAATGTCATGGGAATATCTCGGTGGTTTATATAATGCGGGTGTCGGTTTATTATATAGTTGAATATATCTCTTTAATTGCGAGATTGTGGATATTATATGTATGAACATGTGTAGTGTAGTGTTTTATTATATGTCGGGTGTCTCTTTATTCGCGAAATATTGAGGACATTATAATTATAATAGACTAAAACCAGCACTGTTTGGATGTCAATATGTGAATGTCACTTTGATTAAATAATAAACCTTAGCATTTCCTCGTGACACCCGACGAACAGAAAATCTGGCCAAATTAAACACTTCTTGCTGATTGTATGTTCTTTTGAGCATAAAATTTATAATGCTTTCTTCCAAATATCAACCTACCGTAATCTTATTGCATGAAATCTGCAAAATCACCCAAGGTGTTCATTATTAATTGCAAGACGGATCTGTTAAAATAAAATTTTGGTTCGCGCGTTAGTTTGCTACATCTTTCGCGTTGAAGTTGTTATTTATTTAGCCAAATGATTAAATTTCTCTAGAAATGCCGTGGGCATCGGGTTACGCCACGTCACCCTAAGTCAAGGCAGTTTGAACGTCACCTCTGCAGTCAAAGTCACGACAGAGCCCAGATTTTAGCAAAGCTCCAATTAACAAATCGCCATATAAAAATAAGGGTGCCATAGCGATTGATAAACACTCGTATGGAATGCAATTTGTATACTTTAAGTGAAAGAGGGTAAAAACTTAGGGAATCTGATTTGCTTAAGTAACATTAGAGTTAAAAAAGAAAGAGGAAGAAAATATATATATATATGGTACTTCTTGTTTTCCCCCACAAACAACAAATTAAAAATTCTCCAAAATTGGAGAGAGAACCAAAAAATATATATATATATATATATTTCACACACCAGGGAAATTATTTGTTCCCATGTTCCGTGAATCTAAATTTATAAGTAAAAATTCATAAAAAATCTAAATTTTATACAATTTAAATATATCAAATCTTAGCTATTGATTTTAATAAATACATGTATTGTATTATCTATACTCGGTTATGCATTGATTTTAGTTCCAGTTAGTGAGAGAAATGTTGGCTTTTTTTTTTTTTTTTTAATTTTAGGGTGGCTTTGCCAAATCAGATTCGGGGAGTTTTCGTGGTTTCTCTTTCGCTCCAATAAGGGCTTGTTTTTAGTGGAGCTATTAAAAGGTTAAAGTGCCCTTTAGAAAAGAAAAAAGAGATGAAAAATAAAATAGATGTAAAATGACCAAAATAGGGAACCAAAAGAGAGGGTATTGGTATTTATTTGCAAAATGGTATAAGGGCATTTTGGGAAGATGAAAATGGCAGTTTAGGTAATTTTTTACTTAATATAGGCATGTGCAACGCACATAACTACTTCAATATAATTGCCTGACATATTATATGAATTAATCCCTCCCTTGTCCATTTTTTAAAACTGAACGAACTTATATATATCCAAAATAAATGTTAGGGGTTTTATTTGCCCAAATTTTAAATATTAAGAATGGTTTTCTCACTTTACCTTAAAAATAATCACCTAGTCGATCTGAAGACCAAGTACCTTGATCACATCAAAGGACATCCATTGGATGGAAGGACCTAGAACGTCGGTCCGACTCCACACCTAGACATTGAGCGACCCAAAGCCTCGGTCGTACCAAGACCACTAAGTCGGTCGAAGGATCTAAATCCCGAATCCAACCCCACACCTGGACATCGAGCGACCCAGAGCCTAGATGGTACTAAGGTCGCATAGTCGATTGAAGGACCTTTAGCATTGATCCGACTCCCACGTTAGAACCTCGATCGTCCCAAGGCCACTTAGTCAATCAAAGGATCTAGTGCCTCAATCCAACTCTCACACTTTGACGTTGATCGACCAAGAACCTCGATCATTCCAAAATCACTCAATCAATCGGAGGACCTCTAGCCTCGATTCGATTTTTATACTTGGACCCAGAGCCTCGATCATATCAAGGCCACTTTGTCTATTGATGGACCCAGACTCTGGATCCAACTCCTATACCAGGACATTGATCTAACATCGATCCAATCCAATTAGGGGAGATTGTAAGAAAAAATACAAGACAAAAATAGAGACCCTTACAATCACTGTTAATTAAGTTTAACGTCATTTTATGAGACCCACACTTGGCTGTGGCAAACTTGACACACTAGTGAAAGAAATTATGATGACCTCATAAAAGTGTGCAAAGGCTGAGGATAAGTCATCCCTACGAATAGGTACGAACTTTTACCCAACCACCCATTTAAGTCTTCAACCATTGGATAACAAATCTGATACGAGAGGCTTTAAAACGTGGATGGAGGGAAGCATTGAAAGCAGGACTTGGAAGTTTTTTTTTTTTTCATAAATTGGTCTCTATACTAATGATACATTTGGTCTGTACGAATAAAATAGGATGTAAGTGGGAATAAAATGATAATGGAAATAAAATGAGAATGACCATTCTTATTTTATTATTTAGTTATAACTATGAAATGTGTAGAAACAGAATGATAATAATCATTTTTAGTGTTTAGTTGGATCAATTTAAAATTTTGAATTGAATAAATTTCAAATTGAGTTTTTAAAATATCTCTCTTACTAATAAATAAATTAAATTAACAAAATGACATTTTTTTTATAATTTTTTTTAAAATAAATGGTGGCAGTAGCAGTGGTGGAGGTGGAAAGTGGTAGTGGTGTAGGTGGTGGTGGTAGCAATGGTGGAAAGTGGAGTCGGTGGTGGTAGTGGAAAGCGGCAGTGGTGTTGGCGGAAAGCGGTGGCAGTAATGTGGTGGTGGTGGTGGAAGGAGATTGTAGTGTAGGTGACGGTAATGGAAGCAATTGAGGTGATAGTGGTGGTGATGGAAGATAGTAGAGGTGGCGGTGTTAGAAGGAGGTGATGGTGGTGATGGAAGGTAGAGGAGGTGGCGGAAAGGATTTTCATTCCTAGGAATGGATTGCCATTCCAACGGAATGATCATTTCTATTTTAAATTACATACTAAATAAAAAAATGATTGAAATAAGCATTCTATTTCATTTTATTTCATTCTTACACACCAAAAATAATATAAATTCCGAGTTTGATTTTTCCCTACCCTCACTCACTTTCCTTGAGGTGGACCATTCTCCCCTCCTTTCCTTTGTTTAGGGTCATACCTCATATTTAATCTAACGTTGACCTGACCGACTTCCTTGGACTACAAATTCCTAAAATAATAAGGATCTGGCCTATAGTTTAAAAAATAATATATTTCTCATAAATCTTTGATGTCATGCCTGGACAAATTTGAAAAATAATTATTCTTTGAAAAACTAAAAAAGATATGAATGTACAAATATTGTGGAATATAATTGACATTTCACAACGTCAGTAAACTTACTAACAACACAATTTTGGACCTACCGAAAACGTTCCTGTTATTTAGGGTCAGGTGTTTTTATCCAAAATATTGCATCAAAGGTCATGCAAACCAACCATCCGAATTTAATTTGGGTAAATAATGCCCAAGTGAGGAGGTAAGGATATCCTCCCACTAGGACTAGATAAAATATTGTACAGTTGTAATGATAAGTGCAATGACATTTTAATATATATTCCAATTGTACAAATGACCTACCAAGGCAACCATAAATTTGTTCTTGTAAGAATGTGTATATATATATATGCATGTTGATAATAAGACCATGCAATAATTTCTCTTAGTATATACATATATATATTTATATTTTAACTCACTTGACAATACTAACCATTGTCGGGATATAAAAAAAAAAAAAACAATATAAAATCCAGTGATATCTACTAAAAACATTTTAAAGTGGAATCTGAGAGTTTGAATTTTATTAAAAATAAGAATCCGAATTCCTCCTTTATGTGCTGCAGAGTGAATCCAGCTTGTGCCATTTTGATGCATTGTATAGAGTCCAATGCAAAGTTACATGGAGTCCAAATACATTTGTGTTGCACCTCCTCCTCTCTCCTCTTATCATAAACCCTGACATTTTTTCTATGAAAAAAATAAAAAAATAAACTATAATCCACTGGCCTATTTTCCAATCCTTGTGTTGCAGATCACCATTAAAATAATGGTGTATATAATTTATTAAAATCGCCATTAAAAAATTTATTATTATTAAAGCATAAGTCGGTGCCATTAAATAGTAACGGGATAACAACGGTGGGCACCCCACCGGGTCCTTCCAACGATAAGTCAATGCTTGAATATTTATATATCAAATACATGAAATTTTTGTAAGTATTTTTTTAAATCTTTTTATGTTGACTGGTTTAATTTTTGTAGAAGAGTTAAAGTTATCGTTTCCGTCCGCATCTTCGGTTCAACCTTTGAACTAATCAAATATTTTTCCTTAATTACCTTCTGAGATTGTATACATGAAATTTTTGTAAGTATTTTTTAAAACCTTTTTATGTTGACTAGCAGAAGAGTTAAAGTTATTGTTTCCGCATCTTCAGTTCAACCTTTGAACTAATCAAATATTTTTCCTTAATTACCTCACGAGATTGTCACATTATCTTAATTACCTTATAAATACCATTTGGCTTACTCTATCACCTTATTTTCCTCATCAATTATTATTATTATTATTATTAATTTTCCTTAATTAGTACTCTCACACACACACATTGCTTGAATCATTGACCTCCCTTTAAGAACTTATTTTAATGGTATAAAAAAATTATTAAAATCACCATTAATAACTGAGCTTTTTAATAAAATCACCATTAATAAATGATGGTTAATAATTATTAAAAGCCCCATTAATTCAGTTACAAATTTGAAACTGAGCTTTTTTTATATTATTATTTGTTTTTATTTGAGGTTGTTTGCAGAGGAATGATTTTAATAATTTAAAACATGATTCATGATGTATGTTTGCTTCAGATTATATTTCAAGTAATTCCTAAAAGTTTATATTTTTTGAATTATTGTTTGGAGCAATACTCGGGTCCTGCCCTGTTAGGACAAAATTTGTCCTGCAATTGACGCGGACCACTAAAACACCAACTTCTGTTCCAAATTAAAAATATTATTAAAAAAGTCTAGGGGTGGATCCAACCTGTTTTAATCCGGGTGAATTCTTGAAAAATCCAGTCTGTCGACATAAATATAGGTCATTGAGCATCTCCGGTCTGAATAGCCGCTTCCGCCGCCACTACCCACCTTCTCTCCACTCATTTGTTGCTCTTTCTCTTTCAAGGTTTATACAACTTAAAACTCAAATACAGTAGAAAAGCTCATAAAGTTGGATTTTAGATTCATGATTTATTCTGCTGGCTCTAAATGATCTATATTTATATAATGTACATTACATTCGTTTCCTTGTATCAATGTCCAGTTAAAAATCTCATTGCGTTACTATAATGCTCACATCTTGCATCTCCTTTTCTAATGTGAATACCTTCAAAATTAACCAATAGAGAATAAAAATTGCCAATTTGGAGAAAAATACCCTAAATTCAGAGATTTTATGTCCATGAGAAATTATTCTTTAAACTATTAGTGGTTATTTTGGGAGTCAATATTTTATTTTTTTATTTTTTATTTTATTTTATTTATTTTTTCATTATACCATTAATGTGCTATTAAACTCAAGCAGGGTTAATGTATTTGTGTGGGGGGCAATTGTTCCCTCTGATTTTTTTTATTTGAGTTGCATTCCTTATGATTTGTCTAGTAGGATGAAACTTAATTCGTTCTTTAACATTAACATTCTCATATTACTAAAGTTAACAATAACATTCTTTAATGTTCTCACACGATGTAAATTAATTATAATACCCTCTAACTTTTGAATTGATTTAATATTTAAATTATAAAATTATCATTTTAACATTCACTTATTTTAATCAACCAAAATATCATTTATACATACATATATATACACACACACACATGTATAAATCTGAAAAAAAAAAAAAAAAAACCAAATTATTCCATGCTCTCTCTCCCCGCCGATCATGGAGACCCACAAGACCCATATTGTCTCAGTTTAATAAAAACCTAAATCACAGACAACTATGGCCGCCTCTCTCTCTGCACCGACCATCGCAGCTCAACCACCATCCCTCTCATCTCCCTTCTTCCTCTCTCCGTTCTCTCTCCTCTCCACCCAACGTCGCTGCCACCCCACTGTCGCAGTCACATCCACCATCTATCTCCTCTCTCTTCTTCCTCTCTCTCTCTCTCCTCTCCACCTCATCTTCTCCACCCACTGCTGCCATCGCCATCTAGCTCTTGTGCGGAGGAAGTGGTCATCGCTGCTGCGGATGACGGAGGAGGCGGTGAGTTTCTGGTGGCATTCACGGTTGTTCTCGGGGTTTAAGATTGGGAAAGTGATTCAGAGTCAGGTGGGTTTGGGTCGGTTGGCCCGTTTTGCTCAGCGCCCGGTGAAGCCATTCACGGCAGGGTGCCACTTTCAGTCAGCAATTTTGAAAAGTTGGAGAAGGTATATACATAAAATATATATATGCGCTCGTCAACCTACCAGCCACCTCGATCTAGAGGAGGCCGCAGGAGTCGACATTCTCACTCTCCACCACCGATCGCCTCCTCGTACTACCCTTCTGCACCCCCACATGCTCCTCGCCCTCAGCGGCTTATTAGGCCTCCCACCTGAAAAAATAATTTTATCACAGGCCATGAAAGATCAGAAAGGGGAATTTGCAGGGAGAATGGGTTGGAAGATGCAAGAGGAGGGTGTTTGTTATGCAAGAGGAGGGTATTTTCCGGGAAAAAAAGAGGAGGGTGTTTGTTATGGGCATTTAAGTAATTTAGTAAGTATGATATTTTATATTAAAAATTAATTAAATAATAAGGAATAATTTAAACATTTCACGACGTTTTAGAGTGACAGTAGGTGTCATTATTAAAAAATGGGTAAAATTTCTTCTACCTATCAATAAGGCAAACCTCTTACTGTAATTAATCTTTTGGGTAAAGTACACTAACACCCCCTGAGGTTTGTCAAAAGGACAGCCAGATGAAACTTGCTCTGTTTTGGGACAATGACACCCCCTCATAATATTTATAAGCCAAACAGAGCCTTAAAACATATGAAAAGTCAGCATTACCCTTTACTATTTTATTAATTTTAATTATAAAATATTAAAATAATTAAATGACCAAATTACCCTCAACACCCCATCAATCCTACAACCGGATTCTGCAGCAACCACACCAAAACTCCACAACCACCAACACCCACCCCCAAACCACCGTGCCTTCAAGCTCTCCAATGGAAGGGAAGGATCAAGCTTTTGGTCTATCACCATGGCAATGTGAACAACTTCAAAAACACCATGGCAACGTCAACAACTTCACCTCATCCTCTCTTCCTGAAAAACCCTAACCTTCACCTTCTCAAAAGCCCCAACACAATCACCACCACCCACTTCAATGGCTTCCCCCTCAACCTATCTTCGTGCCTCAACAAACCCATATCGATCACCTATTCAACAACCCAAGTCCAAGATCACCCAACCTCCACCTCCCAATCCCAAGATCGGGTTTTCAATTTCGCCGCCAGTCCAGCCACTCTACCTGAAAACGTGCCCAAGATGGCCAAATCTGAGCTCTAAAATTGGCGTGGAACCAGAATGAGCGTGATGGAAATGAGCCACAGAGGGAAAGAGTTCCTCTCAATCATCCAGAAAGCAGAGTCAGATCTACGTACCCTTCTCAGCATACCCTCCGATTACGCAAGGCGGCGCAACCACCCAGTGCTCTGCGATCCCTCTCAATCTGTTGAAACCTCACTCTCTTCGTCTGGGTCGCGGGAACTGTTCGTGCTTGGGGTTCGTCGATCTGAACTAGGCTTCACCGGATTTGGGGCTCGCTGGACAGAATCAGGTCTTGTAGTTTGAAGCTTCGTCAGACTGATGGCTCCAATTTTGTGCGCTGCCGTGGGATATATCAAGACCTGACAGAAAGAATCAACCAAGCGAGAGCACTCACCGTCGCCCTCGTCGAACAACTATTGCCACCGCTGCCATTAAGCCCAACTCATGACTTGCGTACTCCGGCGTTGGGTAAGCTCACCGATGGAATCGAAGGATAAAGGCCCGCATCCATTCACCATCGCCACCTGTCTATACATACATATATGTGTGTGTATATATATATATATGTATTTGTATATACATATATATATGTGTATGTGTCTGTGTATATATGTATGTGTGTGCGTTGGTGTTGGGGCGACGGAAGAGAGAACAGAGGAGAGAGAGAGAAATTGGAACGGGTATCTGAGGATAGAATTGTCATTTCATGGTCAATATAAAAGTCAAAGGACAGAAATGTCAACTCATTACCATTGGGGTGTCTTTGGTTATTATATCAAACTTGAGGGGGTGTCTTTGTCCCAAAATAGGTTAAGTTTCATCTGGTTGTCCTTATCCCAAACCTCAGGGGGTGTCAGTGTACTTTACCCTAATCTTTTTTATTTTTTAGTTTATAATATTTTATTTAGTGATTTTTCGTATTTGAGATGTATACCTATAAAGTTTTTATATTGTCTCCTGTCGCCCACTCTTACTCAATTTCTTGGATCCATACCTTATTAAACTGGTTAAAAAACATAAAGAAAAAAAAAAAAAAAAAAACCGTTTGAAGAAATGAATATATAAAACTTGTTTATTTTTATTTGAAAAATATAAATTTGTTGGGAAATAACAAAAACCTATTGGCACTATTTTATAATAATTTATGTAAAAAATATAGCCTGTTCAAATCTTGTAGGCCGAAAGCCGGGCTTAGAATTCTCAAAATACGTTTGGTCCGGACCGGCCGGCCCGTTATGCACCCTTACCCAGACGCATCTGACAATACACTTTTTTTATGTTGACGTACTTTCTTACATTTGTCTATCTCTCTCGCCCGATCTACTTTCTTTCTCTCTCTCCCCCCAACCAGTTTGAACGTGCAGATCGGCGATCTACGCTCTTTCACTCTCTTGTTTCTTTCTTTTCATGTCTCTCCCCCCGAACGAAGGTATTCTTCTCAATTTTATGCATGCTTTTGAAAATCCAATTTCTTATTATTTCTCTAATTCTCTTTCTTGTCCTAAAATTGATCTTTTTCAAGATCTGATTTCTGATATTTGATTTGTATGATATTGGTCTTATAGTTTCATGTGTATGGATTTGACGGCTTTCACCTTAGATCCTTACTAGCAATTGAAAAACCCTTTATTCTTCTTATTAGAAGGAAAATTAGGTTTTTTTTTTCCAAAATTGAAGAGCCCATTATTTTTAGGGTTTTTTTTTTTTTTTTTTACCTATTGCTTAGAAGAAAAATTCCTTTGATTTATTTTTTGGTAAGGTAAATTAAAATAATTTTTTAAACAAAAAAATTTCGATTGGTAGCGATTAATTGATAATGTAATAGGGTCACATCATTGATGTGAAAAGACGGAAACTTTTTGGGTGGGTTACAGCTGTATGTTGTTGTAATTATTCGATAGATAGACGGATACTTTTTATGTAGAGAGATGGATACTTTTTGGGCGGTGAAACATACCTCTAATTGTCCCTAATTAATGTGGGACGGAAGTAGTAACTATTTTTTGTCTACAGTATTATTTATGAAACTGTGTACCTGACTCACGAGGTAAATTTACCCTTTTCATATTATCATTTAGTTGAATTTAATGATCCATCTCCTCTCTTACTCTCTCTTCCAGATCAGCTGAAGCTTTTGAGAAAACAGGACCCAACTGAGGGTAGCAGAACCGGAGCGAAGCTCTGTGAACAAACAACAACCAAACTGGTGAATAACTCCATCAACGTGCAGATCGGCGAGACCCAGAAGTTTAAACACCGTGAACTCCGGCGAGCTTCAGTTCAGTACAGAGATCTCCGGCGAGCTCTCTTACTCCCTCTACCAGACCAGGAAGCAAATCGAACACTACCGACGCGCCGAACCAACTGAAGCTAGCAGAACCGGCGTGAAGCTCTGTGAGCAAACAACAACCAAACTGGTGAATAACTCCATCAACGTGCAGATCGGCGAGACCCAGAAGTTTAAACACCAGTACAGAGATCTCCGGCGAGCTCTCTTACTCTCTCTACCAGACCAGGAAGCAAATCGAACACTACCACCGCGCCGAACCAACTGAAGCTAGCAGAACCAGCGTTACCAAACTGAACGGTGAAGAAGTGAAGACCGGCGAGACCCAGAAGTTTAAACACCATGAACTCCGGCGATTCAGTTCAGTACAGAGATAAACCAATCGCCGTGAACAGTTCCGGCGAGCCCATTAACAAATCCAGAAGTGCGCGTGCTCCTGTTTAGGCAAACTTCAGTTTCGGTGAGTCAATCCGGCGAGACGAGAAGTTCCGGTGAGCTCCAGCGAAGCCTCAACCTTCTCGACCCAACTGCAGTAATGTTTTCCGGCGTGTTTCAGCGATGACCGACGCGAGCTACAACAAACAACGTCGACCAAACTTCAGAGACAAGTTTAAGTCCGGCACCTAGAGTTCTCTAACTCCGGCGAGGCTCAATCCACTCCGGCGAGTTTCAGTGAGTTGCCGGTGCGAACTTCAGGCGTAGCTTCAGTTCGTAGCACCTCTGTTACGGTGACCAGGCTGTTTCGGCGAGCTTCAATCACTCCCAACTGCTCAGGCGAGTTTCAGTGTGTTACCGGTCCAAACTTACAGATCCAAAGTGAAAACCCATATCAGGTCAGGTCCGGGTGAGCTTTTTCCATACAGATTTTTTATAAATAATGGGTAATATTGGAAAAAATCATTATTTATAAAGTATAGACTTATTTGTAAATATTTTTGAAACATACAACTTCTTGATCTCCCTTAAAAAAATTTTAGGACTAATTTGTCTTTAAAATTTAAAAGTATAAACTTAATATGGTAAAAACTACTGTATTCAGGGGCGGAGCCAGTGTGTGCCCTTGGCCTGGCTCGCCTAAAATTCCTATTTAATGCCCCCTAAAATTTTTAATTTTTAATTTTTAAAATTATATCCTAAATTTTTCTTTCTTTTCACTTATGCTCTTAAAATTCCTTTGATTTCCTAAAAAAAAAAAAAAAATGTTAAATTTTCCTTCCTTTTTGGGATGGGATGATTACGTTCTGTATGCTTCATTATCATGGTGGGTTGAGTTATGGAAGGCAGACCCGAAATCTTGATCTCGTGTTCGAAAGAAATGAAAAGATTAATACAATATCTTCTAGGTTGAAATCAGAAAAGGTTTATCTTAAACACTTAAATCTTGTTTTTCAGCTTTCTATTTCCAGTGGTATTCAACACCTTCTTTTCCTTCCTCTCAGATTCCGCATAGAACCGGGTTTGGTATTGGAGAGGAAATTGCCGGTGCTTGTACCTTTATTTTTGTGGACTGATCACCTATTCAGTGACGGTTGTAATGCACACACCAAATATTATATCGAACAGGTAAACATTAAAGACTGCTTTGTCATTATGATTTATTAATATTTTTTACACCAACATATAATTGGCCTCGGATGATTTACTCTATACTTTATAATCATAGAGAATTTGAATTTTTATATCTGCAGTCCAATTGGGGTTAAAATTTTTGGGAAGGCCCAATAAAATTTTTGGGCAGGCCCAGTAACACTTAGTACATTTTTTTATAGTCCAGTTGTTTAAATAACCCAGTTTCAATTCCCAATTTTAGAAACCCTGTAATTATATATACATAATTATAATTACATGATGTAATCAGATATTTTCCCTGGGGAAACACTGGTAAATTCTTCCGCTTCTTTGTATCTTCTATGAATTCTATATTTTAATCCATTATGTTGTGTACTTTACTGTTTGATCTTCTGCTAAAGGAAGATCACCTGTGACTCTGGTTCTTGTAACTATCCAGTTAACTTAATTTATTGATCTGCTATCCTGGGTTTTAAGTGAAATTGGTTTTTTAGGCCTCTGCTGCTTTTGTATATTCTATGAATTGTTTTTTTGAATCAATTATTTTGTGTACTTTACTGTTTGATCTTCTGCTAAAGGAAGATCACTTGTGACTCTGGTTCTTTTAACGATTCAGTATTTTTAACTTAATTTGACCTGCAACCCTGGGTTTTAAGTAAAATTGGTTTTTTAGGCCCCAGTAAATTTATATATATGGGTTTGCCACAACCACAGTTTCAGTACAGAGGGAGGGAGAGAGTTGAAATGTTCAGAGTTTTTAGCAAAAAAGATTCTGGAGGGCTTCGAACCAGCCAAAGATCTCCTGCAAAAAAAGAGTGTTCTATACAGTCGCATAATTTTATGAATTTCATTAACATCAACGCGAACTGAAAAAATTGAAGGCCTCTAAGCCCCATCTTAACTAAAAAAAATTAAAAGCTGAATCATAAGCCACTAAAACACCCAAAGAAGAGTCGAACAATATTGAATTCTACCAGTTAGATTCATTTGGCAAAGAACCCTACCAGACCTGTGTTTTGTTAGTTCATCATTGTATTCTTTTCCCCTTCGGAGTGTGGCAGTACAAAATTTCTGATAGAAAAACTAAAATATCAAATATGACTCTCTCTCTCTCTCACATCACAACAGAAGTATATTTTGCCACAACTCAACACTCAGATACTAAAGACGTACAGGACCCAAGGATATAAAAATGTCATTGAGAATAATCTAACTATTAGTCAAGAGATTATGTATTCATGGAAATTATGTAACCATGGATAGCAACGTAGGCCCCTCAATGAAAGATCATGTTAGTGTATCCTGTACTATCTTAACCACTATGTACATTTACAGAAGCATCACAACAGTACCACTTACCCTTTTTATCTCTTCTGCTGAAATACATGTCATATGCGAGGGAAGTTCCTCCTTCTCCAAGTCCTAAACAATCAGATGCAAATTTTAACAAGGAAGCAGGTATTATAGCAAATCTTAGCTGAAATAGAAGATAAGAAGTAAGACTGCATACCAATTCACCAATTAAAATGGCACCTTCAAGAGCAGCATTGGCTGCATATGAGAATTAGAATTTCAGTGAGCTGACAGAGTATTGAAAATTAGCAGATCAAACTTAAGTAAACAACGAAAGAGAAAAAGGGTACCAAATTGATCAAAAGAACGATGTATCTCCAACAGTCTTTGACCATCTCGAAGCAATACAAGAAGCTTCTCTGTGGAAAAAGGGTTTGAAATATATAAATAAGCATGAGCCCAAAATAGAGACCGGAGATAAAATTGTAGCACCACTAAAATACATTCCACCTGAACTATCTGAAACTTAAAAGTGCATTTGACAGTAAATCTCTTCAGATGGCATGTATGATTTGCAGCATGCATGAAATAATCACATAAGCACCAACATGCTTTAAGGCATGCAGAATTTTGATTAAAAATCCATATGGCAGTGGAATGTTCAGAGTTTAAAGTCCTTAAAAAGCTAGACATGGACATAACGAAGACATGTGAATGCATAAAATATAGTCTAGGCTTCTGCTTTATAATTTCATTTTTATAGAAAAAAAACCTTTGTTATTCATTTTTCTTACAATCACATTTTATCTTTTACACATTATTATTATTATTTGCTGAAACCTTGAATTTCTAGAAAAATTAATTTTAACCATTACCAGTTACTTTAAATTTTAAATCTAAAACAATATAAATCAGTGTTAAGAATATCTTTTGCATAAAATATGCTTTGAATAATATAAATGATAGTTTTTGTGAATAAAATTGGAGAAAGGCAAGAAAGGAACACAATTAAGTATAGAACTTCTTTGGAAATAGCTTCTAAAAGCAAGACACTAAGGCTTTATTGTCTTAACGGAAATTCATTCGACTCCGTTGTCTTTGATGTAGAAAAGTAGGACTTTTTCCGTACTTTTCCCAATTAGAATTTACGGAATAAGCAAAATTTCAATGCTGCGATCCAATTCCAGTATCCAGAAAGATTTTTTTTTTTCTTCTTCTTGAAGTTATTTGGTATACCTAGGAATTGTTGACTTCCAACATATTAACCATGCTAATGATCTCCAAATTGTCAATCTATATAAAGGTAACAGAAAAATGCCCTGATTCACTTCATATACAGAAACAAAAATGATTAAACTATATTTTAGTCCCTTAGAAAATGTAACCTCATACTCTAATTCACTACAAAATCTAATATGTAGTCTACCCATTTAGGTAAACAGCTCTGAGAAATTTCCAAAAGCAACCTGAACAAAAGTTTAACTAGAAAGGAAATTAGGGTATATCAGTAGTAGACAAAAACTATCATACAATTGCACCCATAACACAAATATGAGCCTAATTATAGCCTTTAGAAGCAATCAAGGATTGTAGCCTTGCTGTATCTCTTCTCCATACAAAAGTGAAAGGTTCTACCCCCTCCTCTTCTCTAAAAAAGAGAGAAAAAAAAAAATTGCCTTTCGAAGCAGATTGGGTGATAATGGCTAAATTGAAGAATCTGATGTGTTTCAGATTGTATAACAAACAATAACTTTTGACATACTAACAAAGGAAAACCAGAACTTCATATTTAACTTTTAAACCAGAACAGGATTGAAACTGTATATTTAAAACAAAAGAAAACCATAACTTCTTATAGTAACTTTCAGAAAGAGCTCACTTAATATCAGAAATATAATCGTTAGACGAAGAAGATAAGCTAATTAGAGAGAGCTTACTGTCAAGATAACTTGCAAGAGAAGTAGACAGATATCTTCTGGTCCTGCCCAAGACATTGAACTCAAACTCTTTTGGTATCTGATAAATCACTGAAAAATCCTCCGAAAACCGAACAAATTGCTTTGGCAGCTCCGATTCCCCCTCCGCTGCCTCACCAACACTTCCCTATATAATCCAAATATCTCCCAAAAATATAAAAAACCTAAATTCACAATCACAGAAAACCTCAAATCAATCCAAACACTACACTAGCAAAAACCTCCCTGAAAAAATAAACCCCTGATTGAACACCACTCTTCCAAACCTGTTATCTAAAAAACCCTAACTTGACTAATCCCAAAACCCTCTAAATTAAGACTAAAGAATTTTGAGTTTGGTAGCTCCTCCAGATTGATGGGACTGAATGGTTTACGATAAACGGTCAGATTCAGTCACACAGGAATGATTCAAGAGAAAATTGGAAAGAAAAATGAGGGAAAGCGCGAGAAAGTGAGATAAACTGCAGGAACTATTTGCGAGAGAATTTTGCACTTACAGATTTCTTGGGTTTGGACCTTCCCATGATGGCTAAATTGAAGAATCTGTTTCAGTTAATAAGATTGTATAACAAACAATAACTTTTACTTGTATTTTTACTTATCAAAAAAAAAAAAAAAAAAGGTTGTCTAAGAAATAATAACTTTTGACATACTAACAAAGGAAAACCCGAACTTCATATTTAACTTTTAAACCAGAACAGGATTGAAACTGTATATTTAAAGCAAAGGAAAACCAGAACTTCTTATAGTAACTTTCAGATAGAGCTCACTGAATGTCAGAAATATAAATGTAAGACGAAGAAGATAAGCTAATTAGAGAGAGCTTACTGTCAAGATAACTTGCAAGAGAAGTAGCTAGATAGATCTCTTCTGGTCCTGCCCAGGACATTGAACTCAAAACTCTTTCGGTATCTGAAAAATGACCGAAAAGTCCTCTGAAAACCAAACAAATTGCATTGGGCAGCTCCGATTCCCCCTCCGCTGCCTCACCAACACTTCCCTATATAATCCAAATATCTCCCAAAAATATAAAAAACCAAAATTCACAATCACAGAAAACCTTAAATCAATCCAAACACTACCCTAGCAAAAATCTCCCTGAAAAAATAAACCCCTGATTGAACACCAATCTTCCTAACCTGTTATCTAAAAGACCCTAACTCGACTAATCCCAAAACGCTATAAATTAAGACTAAAGAATTTGAGTTTGGTATCTCCTCCAGATTGATGGGACTGAATGGTTAACAATAAACGGTCAGATTCAGTTACACGGGAAGGATTCAAGAGAAAACTGGAAAGAAAAATGAGGGAAAGCGCGAGAAAGTGAAAGAAACTGCAGGAACTATTTGTGAGAGAATATTGCACCTATAGATTTCTAGGGTTTGGACCTTCCCATTTGTGAGCTTTTTGTAAATTGATTTCTGGAGGGCTTTGAACCAGCCAATGATCTACTGGAAAACATGACGTTATCAGATATTTTCTGTGGGCAGACACTGGTAAATTCTTCTGCTTTTTTGTATGTTCTATGAATTGTGTATTTTAATCAATTATAGTGTGTTCTTTATTGTTTGAGCTTCTGCTGAAGGAAGATCAAGATCACTTGTGACTCTGGTTCTTTTAACTATCTAGTCTTTTAATTTAATTAATTGACCTTGAATCCTGGGTTTTATGTGAATTTGGTTTTTAGGCCCCCTGTAATTTTATATTTATGGTCTTGGATACTGTGAAATTTTTTTCTGGACAACCACAGTTCCTAGGGCATTTACAAGGCGTTTCTGTACAGAGGGAGAGGGAGAGTTGAAATGTTCTGATTTTTTGCAAAAATTTTTCTGGACAACCACGGTTCCTAGGGCATTTACAAGGTGTTTCAATATTGAGGGAGGGAGAGAGTTGAAATGTTCCGAGTTTTTTGCAAAAAAATTTCTGGACAGCCACAGTTCCCAAGGTGTTTCAGTACACACGGAGAGAGAGTTGAAATGTTCTGAGATTTTTGCAAATTAATTTCCAAAAAATTTTCTGGAGGGCTTCGAACCAGCCAAAGGTGTCCTACTGGAAAACGTCTACGAATTCTTTGTTTTAATAGATTATATTGTGTCCTTTATTATTTGAGCTTCTGATGAAGGAAGGTTATTCGTAAGGTCAGTTGTAACTCTAATTTTTGTAATTATCCAGTCTTTTAACGTAATTTGGCAACCTTCACAGGACCTCAACCCCCCCTTGGGCATCTATGTGAAATTTGTGTTTGTTCCATAGCCAGATCTGAATTTGAGAAAAAGGAATCGAAATCCAAGGTAAATTTGCAGAAGTTTTTTTGCATTTTCTATTTTGGTTTCATTTTCAGCGTTTCTTGTGATTTAACTACAGTATGTACTTCTTAATGTAGAATAGTTGCGATATTATCCGTTTTGAAATCAATCTAATTTTAAATATGTAGACATCTGGCGGTTATCCTATGAGCACTGGTCTTGGGATTTTGAAAACTTATTCTAGTCAAACTCCTCAGGTATTTGCATTTTCTCAAAAGGCTTTTTGCATCTTTAATTTTCATGCCCTTTTTTATATTGTTTTTGTACTAATATAATATTGTTACAGCTGGTCAATATTTTTGGGTTGACGGGCAGCCAAGCATTCCTTTTGCGCTCAGGCAGACTGATCTCCGCTTCTGATTTTGTTTCCAAGCTTGAGGCATCTCCTGGTGGAATATACCTTTCCAAAGACGAATATTGCCAATGGTTGGCTGCTGCTCCAAAAAAGGATTTTATGGTAGAGCTTTTAATGGAAGGCTGGTTATGCGTTGTTGGAACAAATGTGAAATTATTAGATTCTATAAAGACTGTTGTTGGAGAAAGACCTAGTTCTATTTGTGCATACGTTGATGGGTCTTAATGGCTTCCTTTAAGCGCACTAAAGGAAGCCATTAAGACCCATCAACGTATGCACAAATAGAACTAGGTCTTTCTCCAACAACAGTCTTTATAGAATCTAATAATTTCACATTTGTTCCAACAACGCATAACCAGCCTTCCATTAAAAGCTCTACCATAAAATCCTTTTTTGGAGCAGCAGCCAACCATTGGCAATATTCGTCTTTGGAAAGGTATATTCCACCAGGAGATGCCTCAAGCTTGGAAACAAAATCAGAAGCGGAGATCAGTCTGCCTGAGCGCAAAAGGAATGCTTGGCTGCCCGTCAACCCAAAAATATTGACCAGCTGTAACAATATTATATTAGTACAAAAACAATATAAAAAAGGGCATGAAAATTAAAGATGCAAAAAGCCTTTTGAGAAAATGCAAATACCCCATCACCGGCGAAGCGGGTATAGGTGTAGTATTTGTGAATGTATTTGGAAAATATATTAGTTATGTTAGCAAGCGCGTGGGTCGTTTGAGTGATCCCGAAGAAGCTGAACTAAGCGCACTAAAGGAAGCCATTAAAATTGCCAACGATTCAAATTATAGTGACTTCATTGTCTATTCTGATTCCTCGGACATGGTTAAAGGGATGAAGTTGAACCCGGCCAGCGATAAATTCTACGAAGCACAACTGAAATTTCCTAATATCTATGCGTGAGTACATTTTGTTCCATCATTCTTTAGTCCATTTTATTTATTTATTTATTTTTATAATTTGTTTTTAATATACTGATTTTTTATTTGATCAGAAATTTGCATGCTGAGGCGTCTAAAATCACGTGTTTCCGAATATCATTTGTATTCCGAGAGAGGAAAACCGCTGCCGATTTTTGCGCTAACGCGGCTTTAAGGGAGCTCCGGTGTCCCAAAGATTATGTAGAGACTCTTGTCCTGAAAGATCACACTGTGAAAAATTTCAGGTTTTATCGGAAAGTTCTTGCTATAGAAGAGGTTGGCGGAAGAAAGTGGTCACCGCAGGTGGAGTGGTTGTTTCTTGACCTTCCAGATTCCCACAAGGTAACTCTGTGAATTTTAGGCCTTTCTTGTCTTGTATCTCCCAAAACAGTTTTCTGTTCTGGGTGTTTTCTGCTTGGTTTTTTTTGGGAGAACAATTTTTTTAAAACTAGAGTTGAGGAGTTGCTGCTATTTTTAGAGAACAACTCAATGTTGTTTTTGGAGTTTTTGGAGAACATACTGAGAACTGTTCTCCACTTAAAAAAAAGCGGTACCCTCATTTTGTAACCTTAAGGATTCAAGACCCAAAGTTATTAGGATATATAATGAGAAAGCATGCTATGTTTTCTTAAGAACTTGTGGCCAACTTGTCATTTTTTATTGAAAACTCCTGTAGAAAGAGCATATATAAGAGTATCCTAAGAACTTAAGAGCGTAGTTACTGGTTTCTTGCTTATCTGTCACCTTTGTCAATCCTAAGTGCCAAGTCATTAAAGTACTAATTATTCCTTTCACCTGACCGTGGGCTATGGCTTAGGTACTATTTTTTACTTACATTTGACTACAAAAAGTATTAGCACGAATCTCACCAAAAGCATCTTTGATATAAAAATAAAGTAAAATAAATTCTACTAAATAAATTACTAGGAACTCGAATGATTGAGATAAACTCAATAAAGAGCTTGATAACCTTTATTCCTCTGGGCAAGAGTTGTTACTCTTTGGGGATTCTGTTGTTATGCTGCTACTACACATACCAAGATAATTTAGAATTAGGTGATTCTATTAGTTAATATATACTTCTCTTTTCCTTTTTATCTAAATTGATTGGAAAAGAAATTATGTTCTTCACCAGCTATTAAACTACATAAATGATATAGACATAGATATATTATTTTCTCAATCAAATGGGGGACATCGTATAAACTTTATTTAGCCATCTCTCTGGCTTCCCTGCAAAGCTGCAGTTAGTCAAGCTTAAGCACCCTGCATTTGAACTTGTCAAATTGATCTCTAACAAATTAGATAGATTTGAGTGAGCTTCGAGGGCATTGCTTTGATTGTAGACATCCACGGATGGGACTTCCTCGTGTTCTGCTCTTCGAAAGGGTGTAGTAGAAGAATCAGAAAATTTGGTTCGACTCTTATGGCTTTGCCGTCCTTTACGCAGCAATCTTCTTTCGTGGCGCATTTTCTCAAGTTGGTCGTACTAGGTTTTGACCATATTGGTTGAAGCCTGCCCCTTCCCTTGCATCGTCAAAACGGCAAAACCTTTGAGCACAGACAGGCTATCTATCGAATGCCCCCCCTACAACACCGTGGGTAAAGGATGATGTCAGTCACTTTCAAATTCATATTCTTCGGTTTCAGCATACGCTGCTCCATCTGCCTCCCCACAGCACAGTGTATTTCGGCTGAGATCTTCAATTGCTTCATAAACTTGCCCAGAAATAGTATCCAGACCTGTAGGATCTGTCGAGTTTCATTCTTAAATTCACATCTCGAGCCTGCCCTTCGCTCCTTCCTATTGCATTTCATTAATTAATGAACAATCGCTCTATGAAACAATAGCTTCATAGACTTGCACCTTTTGGATTGACCTTTAACTGACATCCATCTATTTCAGTAACATCCATCTCAAATTAGGCCAAGTCATAGAAAGAAAACTCAAAATAATGGAGATTTTTTTCTAATACTTTTTGTTAAATAAAGTGAGTGAATCGCTTTCCATTAATTAGCTCATTGAACCGCCTTTGCTCTCTTTTTCACTTTGCCTTTGAAGCAGCTTGTGGCATATCATCAGCTTTGCGGTGTAAATGTTCTCATTTTCTGATTTCCATCATCATTGCTGCCATCAACACCAACCGAAACATCTCTATCAACATCTTTGTCTATAGATAGAGGAAAGTCTTTCAATTGGCTTTCTCGTTTCCCCATCCTGACGAACGAAGTCACGTCTATCTCAACTTTCTTTCTAGTACTTCGTTTAAGCCAATAATAAAGACTCTGTAGCCACGAAAGCCTCGAAAGAAAGCAGAACGTGGGCTCTTTGTACAAATATGGAACAAACCTGATGGGGAGGACTCATTTACAGGGCAAATAATTCATTTAGTTTAGTGAAATAGTGTTCCTTGTGGAGACTTCCCAAACCTGGCTAAGGAATCTGCAATGCCACCGGTTTTGAAGTCAATAGTGTGCAACTGCAGGGCTTCCCACATCCTCTGGTTTGCTCGGTAAGGCTTCTACGTTTGATAACCCATGTGGGAGTGTGTCAAGTTTTACTAAAGCGATTTTACATTTCAAAGGAACGGTTCCATGTGCAGAATCCATTGACTACCTCTAAACCTTACAACTACAGTGAGGCATCAACTAATAGGTCGATTTAAAGGTAGTCCAAACATTTCATAAAAGCCCCAATACCTTGCAGTATATCCATAAACTTTTGTTGTCTTCTAGTGACTTATTGTACTATAATGCCAGCTATAATCTATAAGGGGTGAACCAGTTTTATATTTTAAAATCTTGTTTGGCAGATCTTGGGTTGAAGGCTGTTGGTGCATTTGTTGGCAGTTCATATTGCCTTCCCAGCACCTTCTATGTTCTCAATTTCTGGTTTTCTTTTTCAATTGGGTTCTAAACTTTTTCCTTTGCAGAACTGATCGTAATTTTAACCGTAGTTGAAGGCTTATCATAATTTTGTCAAGTTTTATTTTAATTCTTGTCCTCTTGTTTGCTGCAGGAAGGACTTTTGGTGGTTGTGAAAATTCTGTTCCATGGAATGTCATCTGATACTATTGATACTTTAGGTGGTTTATTAATATATGTGGTTATCATACTTTTGAACATGGTATATCTCGGTGGTTTATTATATAGGTGAATATATCTCTGTTTGGATGTCACATGTATGAATGTCATGGGAATATCTCGGTGGTTTATATAATGCGGGTGTCGGTTTATTATATAGTTGAATATATCTCTTTAATTGCGAGATTGTGGATATTATATGTATGAACATGTGTAGTGTAGTGTTTTATTATATGTCGGGTGTCTCTTTATTCGCGAAATATTGAGGACATTATAATTATAATAGACTAAAACCAGCACTGTTTGGATGTCAATATGTGAATGTCACTTTGATTAAATAATAAACCTTAGCATTTCCTCGTGACACCCGACGAACAGAAAATCTGGCCAAATTAAACACTTCTTGCTGATTGTATGTTCTTTTGAGCATAAAATTTATAATGCTTTCTTCCAAATATCAACCTGCCGTAATCTTATTGCATGAAATCTGCAAAATCACCCAAGGTGTTCATTATTAATTGCAAGACGGATCTGTTAAAATAAAATTTTGGTTCGCGCGTTAGTTTGCTACATCTTTCGCGTTGAAGTTGTTATTTATTTAGCCAAATGATTAAATTTCTCTAGAAATGCCGTGGGCATCGGGTTACGCCACGTCACCCTAAGTCAAGGCAGTTTGAACGTCACCTCTGCAGTCAAAGTCACGACAGAGCCCAGATTTTAGCAAAGCTCCAATTAACAAATCGCCATATAAAAATAAGGGTGCCATAGCGATTGATAAACACTCGTATGGAATGCAATTTGTATACTTTAAGTGAAAGAGGGTAAAAACTTAGGGAATCTGATTTGCTTAAGTAACATTAGAGTTAAAAAAGAAAGAGGAAGAAAATATATATATATATGGTACTTCTTGTTTTCCCCCACAAACAACAAATTAAAAATTCTCCAAAATTGGAGAGAGAACCAAAAAATATATATATATATATATTTCACACACCAGGGAAATTATTTGTTCCCATGTTCCGTGAATCTAAATTTATAAGTAAAAATTCATAAAAAATCTAAATTTTATACAGTTTAAATATATCAAATCTTAGCTATTGATTTTAATAAATACATGTATTGTATTATCTATACTCGGTTATGCATTGATTTTAGTTCCAGTTAGTGAGAGAAATGTTGGCTTTTTTTTTTTTTTAATTTTAGGGTGGCTTTGCCAAATCAGATTCGGGGAGTTTTCGTGGTTTCTCTTTCGCTCCAATAAGGGCTTGTTTTTAGTGGAGCTATTAAAAGGTTAAAGTGCCCTTTAGAAAAGAAAAAAGAGATGAAAAATAAAATAGATGTAAAATGACCAAAATAGGGAACCAAAAGAGAGGGTATTGGTATTTATTTGCAAAATGGTATAAGGGCATTTTGGGAAGATGAAAATGGCAGTTTAGGTAATTTTTTACTTAATATAGGCATGTGCAACGCACATAACTACTTCAATATAATTGCCTGACATATTATATGAATTAATCCCTCCCTTGTCCATTTTTTAAAACTGAACGAACTTATATATATCCAAAATAAATGTTAGGGGTTTTATTTGCCCAAATTTTAAATATTAAGAATGGTTTTCTCACTTTACCTTAAAAATAATCACCTAGTCGATCTGAAGACCAAGTACCTTGATCACATCAAAGGACATCCATTGGATGGAAGGACCTAGAACGTCGGTCCGACTCCACACCTAGACATTGAGCGACCCAAAGCCTCGGTCGTACCAAGACCACTAAGTCGGTCGAAGGATCTAAATCCCGAATCCAACCCCACACCTGGACATCGAGCGACCCAGAGCCTAGATGGTACTAAGGTCGCATAGTCGATTGAAGGACCTTTAGCATTGATCCGACTCCCACGTTAGAACCTCGATCGTCCCAAGGCCACTTAGTCAATCAAAGGATCTAGTGCCTCAATCCAACTCTCACACTTTGACGTTGATCGACCAAGAACCTCGATCATTCCAAAATCACTCAATCAATCGGAGGACCTCTAGCCTCGATTCGATTTTTATACTTGGACCCAGAGCCTCGATCATATCAAGGCCACTTTGTCTATTGATGGACCCAGACTCTGGATCCAACTCCTATACCAGGACATTGATCTAACATCGATCCAATCCAATTAGGGGAGATTGTAAGAAAAAATACAAGACAAAAATAGAGACCCTTACAATCACTGTTAATTAAGTTTAACGTCATTTTATGAGACCCACACTTGGCTGTGGCAAACTTGACACACTAGTGAAAGAAATTATGATGACCTCATAAAAGTGTGCAAAGGCTGAGGATAAGTCATCCCTACGAATAGGTACGAACTTTTACCCAACCACCCATTTAAGTCTTCAACCATTGGATAACAAATCTGATACGAGAGGCTTTAAAACGTGGATGGAGGGAAGCATTGAAAGCAGGACTTGGAAGTTTTTTTTTTTCATAAATTGGTCTCTGTACTAATGATACATTTGGTCTGTACGAATAAAATAGGATGTAAGTGGGAATAAACTGATAATGGAAATAAAATGAGAATGACCATTCTTATTCTATTATTTAGTTATAACTATGAAATGTGTAGAAATAGAATAATAATAATCATTTTTAGTGTTTAGTTGGATCAATTTAAAATTTAGAATTGAATAAATTTCAAATTGAGTTTTTAAAATATCTCTCTTACTAATAAATAAATTAAATTAACAAAATGACATTTTTTTTATAATTTTTTTTAAAATAAATGGTGGCAGTAGCAGTGGTGGAGGTGGAAAGTGGTAGTGGTGTAGGTGGTGGTGGTAGCAATGGTGGAAAGTGGAGTCGGTGGTGGTAGTGGAAAGCGGCAGTGGTGTTGGCGGAAAGCGGTGGCAGTAATGTGGTGGTGGTGGTGGAAGGAGATTATAGTGTAGGTGACGGTGGTGGAAGCAATTGAGGTGACAGTGGTGGTGATGGAAGATAGTAGAGGTGGCGGTGTTGGAAGGAGGTGATGGTGGTGGTGGAAGGTAGAGGAGGTGGCGGAATGGATTTTCATTCCTAGGAATGGATTGCCATTCCAACGGAATGATCATTTCCATTTTAAATTACATACTAAATAAAAAAATGATATAAATTCCGAGTTTGATTTTTCCCTACCCTCACTCACTTTCCTTGAGGTGGACCATTCTCCCCTCCTTTCCTTTGTTTAGGGTCATACCTCATATTTAATCTAACGTTGACCTGACCGACTTCCTTGGACTACAAATTCCTAAAATAATAAGGATCTGGCCTATAGTTTAAAAAATAATATATTTCTCATAAATCTTTGATGTCATGCCTGGACAAATTTGAAAAATAATTATTCTTTGAAAAACTAAAAAAGATATGAATATACAAATATTGTGGAATATAATTGACATTTCACAACGTCTGTAAACTTACTGACAACACAATTTTGGACCTACCGAAAACGTTCCTGTTATTTAGGGTCAGGTGTTTTTATCCAAAATATTGCATCAAAGGTCATGCAAACCAACCATCCGAATTTAATTTGGGTAAATAATGCCCAAGTGAGGAGGTAAGGATATCCTCCCACTAGGACTGGATAAAATATTGTACAGTTGTAATGATAAGTGCAATGACATTTTAATATATATTCCAATTGTACAAATGACCTACCAAGGCAACCATAAATTTGTTCTTGTAAGAAGGTGTATATATATATATGCATGTTGATAATAAGACCATGCAATAATTTCTCTTAGTATATACATATATATATTTATATTTTAACTCACTTGACAATACTAACCATTGTCGGGATATAAAAAAAAATAAAACCATATAAAATCCAGTGATATCTACTAAAAACATTTTAAAGTAGAATCTGAGAGTTTGAATTTTATTAAAAATAAGAATCCGAATTCCTCCTTTATGTGCTGTAGAGTGAATCCAGCTTGTGCCATTTTGATGCATTGTATAGAGTCCAATGCAAAGTTACATGGAGTCTAAATACATTTGTGTTGCACCTCCTCCTCTCTCCTCTTATCATAAACCCTGACATTTTTTCTATGAAAAAAATAAAAAAATAAACTATAATCCACTGGCCTATTTTCCAATCCTTGTGATTAGGCTGTTCAACTTGCAGATCACCATTAAAATAATGGTGTATATAATTTATTAAAATCTCCATTAAAAAATTTATTATTGTTAAAGCATAAGTCGGTGCCATTAAATAGTAACGGGATAACAACGGTGGGCAACCCACCGGGTCCTTCCAATGATAAGTCAATGTTTGAATATTTATATATCAAATACATGAAATTTTTGTAAGTATTTTTTAAAATCTTTTTATTTTGACTGGTTTAATTTTTGTAGAAGAGTTAAAGTTATCGTTTCCGCATCTGCGGTTCAACCTTTGAACTAATCAAATATTTTTCCTTAATTACCTTATGAGATTGTATACATGAAATTTTTGTAAGTATTTTTTAAAACCTTTTTATGTTGACTAGTAGAAGAGTTAAAGTTATCGTTTCCGCATCTTCAGTTCAACCTTTGAACTAATCAAATATTTTTCCTTAATTACCTCATGAGATTGTCACATTATCTTAATTACCTTATAAATACCATTTGGCCTACTCTATCACCTTATTTTTCTCATCAATTATTATTATTATTATTAATTTTTCTTAACTAGTACTCTCACACACACATATTGCTTGAATCATTGACCTCCCTTTTAGAACTTATTTTAATGGTGTAAAAAATTTATTAAAATCACCATTAATAACTGGGCTTTTTAATAAAATCACCATTAATAAATGATGGTTAATAATTATTAAAAGGCCCATTAATTCAGTTACAAATTTGAAACTGAGCTTTTTTTTTATTATTATTTGTTTTTATTTGAGGTTGTTTGCAGACGAATGATTTTAATAATTTGAAACATGATTCATGATGTATGTATGCTTCAGATTGTATTTCAAGTAATTCCTAAAAGTTTATATTTTTTGAATTATTGTTTAGAGCAATACTTGGGTCCTGCCTTATTATGACAAAATTTGTCCTGCAATTGACGTGGACCACTAAAACATCAACATCTGTTCCAAATTAAAAATATTATTAAAAAAGTCTAGAGGTGGATCCAACCCGTTTTAATCCGGGTGAATTCTTGAAAAATCCAGTCTGTCGACATAAATATAGGTCATTGAGCATCTCCGGTCTGAATAGC